CTTTCCGTGTATGAATTGATTAAGTCGGATACAGTTTGTTTGAATCCTTTAATTATAACTTGGTGTAAGGCCTAGAAAGTACAATCGGGAAACCCACTGCTAGGTTTATAAGCTGTGCTGGGTTTATGAGTGTTAAACTAAATGTACTCTATTAAGGGGTCGAAATATAGTTATATCCACAACTTAACATTCTTAACATTTGTATTTATTTATTTGTGAGTGTTTGAGCTGAACAAAACAAAGAAAAGAAACAACTTTTCATATTTAAGCCGGTTCCAATGGACGAATGTTGGGCCTTTGTACTTGATAAATGACTTTCTGATGAATCAGCTGCAGGGACAGAGAGTGTGTTGATGTGCTGTATTCTCAAATGGAGTTTCTTTCTTTGTGGTTGAAGGCACTTGTTGTATGTCACTTTTGATAAAAGCGTCAGCTAAATGTAATGTAATGTATGCATTTCTTGTCAAATGATTTAATATATTTGCTTTAGCGTAGGGAGGAGGATTGGATAGATGGGTCAAACAAAGACAGAACTTTAACCAGCTTAACATTAAACATGTTTAACAGTGCGATGGTAACGTCAACGACAGAATCATTTATGTTATGCCATCAGCTGGTTAGCTTAGCATTAAGTTTGAAAACAGGGCAAACTTCTAGCGTGGCTGTCCAAAAGGTACAGAATCTGCCTATAGTACCTCCAAAGCTCACCAAGTACAACATGTCACCTTGTTTGTTTATTTCTTACAATGAACAAAGTGTATAAGCAAAGCTTTTCTGTTTTTTGGGTGGGTTATGTGCCAAATTAGTTTTTGTCTGGAACCAAGGACTTTTTTATATTTTTGTTAGGAAAAAATAACTTAAACAAGCAATAGATAATATAACATATGGTATATATTTATTTTACTCATAGTGTATATAATTGCAGTGTTTCCCATACATTGATTCATTTGTGGCGGGCTGCCACAATTAAATATCGTCCGCCACAAATAGATCTAAAAAAAAAAAATAATGTTATATTTAATTTAATTTTAATTAATTTTTTTGGTGCGGTGCCCCCACAAATAGAATCAAATGATGTGGGAAACACTGAATTGCATTGTCTACAATGTTTAAAATCATTTTCAATTATTCAAAAACCACATGTATTTGTCAACCAGGTCCGAATCTGTTAAGTCCAAAGCAGCTACAGTCATAAATGTTTTCATGTTAAATATGTCATTCATGCATCATGTTAAAATACATTTTGGGATTAACCAACATATTACAGCTCGACAGCATGTCTTGATATTGAAATAGTTATTTAGAGGTCCATTTTAAATCACTCAATTAAAAAATATATAATTGATCAAATATATTTAAATATATAAAAAAAAAGGAAAGGTTGGTAGACTTGTATTTACAGATGATCATGTTTTTATTTATGTCAATTATGTATGACTCTTGAAAAGAAACCACTTATTTTTAGAGTGTCAGTAGTGATTTACAATCGGGGAGAGTAGCCAGAATGTTTCAAGACAAAGTTTACAACGTTATCTCAATATGGATGAGATATGGAAAGACCTACAAACCTGGTTTGTAGGTCTTTCTTTCTGAGACAAAACAAACGCTTTGGCCTCCGTCCTGTTAGCGGACACAGTCACGTTTGTTTGGACTTTATACGTGAATCGTCTGCAGCAGACCGAACACAACAGATCCACATGTAATCAAGGACAACAACATCCTTGCAAACAAAGTGTGTGACCATACAAGGTGTCAGGAAGAGTTGATCAAAAACAACAAAAACACATGATACTGTAGGAGCATGACGAGGCAGAAACGGTCAGGGAAGCTTCACTAAACTACTTCTCATCAGACAGACGAAAAAGCATCACCGCCCGTCAACTTCATCTTCCCTTTTTTATTCTACCATGAAACTAATCGCATGACAAAATGTGTGTTTGTTTTAAAAAAGGGAGAAACGGGGGTGTATTGTGTGGCCTCGAGTTTTCCCAGCGCTGATCCAGGTTTGACATTTTCATTTAATGCCAACAACCTTCATCAATAACGCTGAAGTTGTCTCTCTCCTAACACACTCGCTCATTCTTTCTCCTTCTGCAGCCTGCTTGGGTTAAAAATAGCTCTCCCCTCTCTCTTTCTCTGCTTCTCCGTTTACATAAGCACACAGAGGGGGAGGGGAGCACTTCCGGTCTGGCCACCCAGCCCAGCATCTGATCCATAACACTGGGGCTGCTGGGTGGGTGGGGGGGGGGGGGGGGGGGGGGGGAGGGACGAGACGAGGAGAGGAGAGACGAGGAGAGGAGTGGAGAAGAGAGGAGAGGAGAGACGAGGAGTGGAGTGGAGTGGAGTGGAGAGGAGAGGAGAGGAGAGGAGAGGAGAGGAGAGATCCCGCAATGCAGGGAAGCCCTCTCTTTCTCTATTTCCATCCATCTCTTCAAACCTCTTTTGAAATTGTTCCGTCTCTCCTTTGTTTCACAACTCTCTCCATCCACAATCACATTTATAACCAGGAAGCTTTGTCATGATCATCTGACCTCCACCGTGTCTCCCTACACCCCCACTCCACATGTACCTGCATAAAGTAACCCACATATAGGCCACACAACACCTGTGGCAATGCATGCAGTTTAAGTGACAAGGACATGAGTACAGTCCCAGTCAAGGTGCAAAACGTACTTTATTGCTAACCAGCCAAATTGAGAATGTATGTTCAAATTTCCCCAGCCATTTAATAGATAACCAATGTTTCTTAGTTGCCACTTGCATATTTTTAACCATGTATTCAACATTTGACTAATGCCCTGCCTGAGCCATGCCATGCATGCTTCCATTTTCTGCTACTTTATATTACAAATACTGCTACATTTCAGAGGGGAGTACTTTGTATTCTACTACATTTATTTTTTAGCTGGCGTTACTTGTTTGTTTTCAGATTAAGATTTTACATAAAAAAACACACGATTAATTACACAATATGCAAGGGATACACTGTACAATGCAATAGCTTATTCAAGGTAGTAGGACTTTTTTCGGTTGAAGTTTAAACACAAAAACAACAATAACATTCAAAGTTGGCAACCATCATATGAAAACACCAACCTCAGTTTTCAGCCGCTTGGCTTTTCACCTCATAATTTATTATGGGAGCATTTTCATAGTTTCGCTGTCAGGATGCGTGCTTTGATCTGGCACCTGAACACTACCTTTTATAGATTTGACAAAACCCAAAAATACAGCAACATTTGAAAACCCAAGCAGAAATCATCACCACACCCCTTTAGAGGGTTAAAAGTGACGATTGAGAGGAATAATAGTTTGTATACATCTATTATTGTATTCTAATAAAATGTCTTAAATCATGAGTTTGGATTGTTACCTCTTACAAAGAAACATTGTCTGTTTCAGATGTCCTTAAGCAGGTTCACCAAAGAGTGAGTGCCGCGCTGAAATTCTCAGATGGTTTCATTTAAATTGTTGTTGCTCAATATTTCACCAGAAAAGCTAAATATCAAAGGAAATATGAAGGGCCCGAGCCAGTTGGGAACAACTGGACTAGACTTCCTAACTTTACATAAAGTAGTTCAAACTAACTGCCACAATCAGCTACCAATGTCATGTTACAACATTTTTTATAGACCATTATTATAATATCATACTCTAATAACATGGTACTCTCATTTTCCTGCAGAATATGGACTTTTAATACATTTTGCTGGAAAAATTAATATACTTTCAAATACAGACTTTTACTTGTCATAGATAAGGGTACTTATAAAGGGTCTGAGAACTTCTTCCACCACTGCATAAAGTGACATATACAAAAACCCATCTACCTCAAACATGCACTGTACACAAACAAGCATGCACACAAGAGAGAGAGGGGGCGAGACTCCGCCCTCCAAGAGCTCTGGCTCCATGTGACCACTGCATGCCTTATAGCAGAGGCAGGCCTGACTGAGATCAAAAGGCGGATAAGATACCAGAAAGAAAGAAAGGAAGAGTTTGGAAACTGGGAAGGGAGAACAGGACCAAGGGAGATTCAGAGCGCTGAAGATGTTTGGGGAAAAAATATCATATATCTCAGCCTTTGTGACAAATCATTTCAATACACACAACAAAACCACATTGACAAGGGTCAGCAGGGCGAGGACGAAATCGCTGACAGAAACCAAAGACACACAAACCACCAGGTCGGTGTCTTAGGTGTTTGGCCATACTGCTAAACAGACTGCAACCTAACTGAAAAGTCTACTTAGAGTACACTTTTGCAACTGCTCAAGCAGAATGCAACAAAGCAAAAGGGAGAGTAAACAAATCAAGAAAAAAATCCTCTCTGTGTGCGCTGAAAACAAATCTGGTGTTTTGATATGGCCCTGGCTCTGTAAATGCGAAACAAAGAAGTGGATCGGACTGAGACACACGACAGCAATCCAGTCAATTAGCAACAAGAGGCGTTCATGCTCACGTATAGAACAACGGAAAGACCAAAGATGAATGAAGACAAAGGCAGTGGGAGGAGAGGGTGAATTAGGAGGCGGGTATTTGTTTGGGTGTTGAGTTCAAATATCTTTCTCCAGAGTTGCTGACTCCACGTTAAAAAGATAAATCTGGTGATAAACTATATTTGTATTATTTTCAATAAATCCGATGAGAAGATCCCGTGTACAAATTCCATGACAATCCATCCAATAGTTGTGGACGTGTTGCCATCACCAGCACTACACGGTGCCTTCAAATGAGCCACATCGCACTGGATGCACACTGTAGTTTGTCCACTAAGCTGTAACGCACTAGCAAGAACAGACACACGTTTGCACTCAAAGTGACCACATACCAAAACAACCAAATGTCCCACAATGTCAGTATAAGTGTAAAGAGTCACAGAGAGAAAAATGAAGCATGTCTTTGTGTCGTCCTTCATTTATATTCATGTTTGACTGCACAGTATGTATGGAAGTAAAACAAAGGGATATAACAGGAGATATTTGAAAACATAGACTTACTACTGTGCGCAGTCGATGAGTTGATATTCGTTAGACCTATCCCAGCAGGACCGCACACCCTCGTCCTGCCAGAGGAACTTTGCATGGTCATAAAACTCCTGGAAAGAGAAAGAGGGGTCTGGATTAACGACATACCACATCTACAAATAACTGCGAGTCAGACCCTCGGTTTAGGATCCCTGAAATAAAGATGTGAAATCATAAAAAGATCTAAAAGAAAAGAGTACGTGTGACCAGAACAAGAATCTTATAGAGCAAGTCTTTAATATTTCTCTATAGCACGTCACGTAAATTGTTCGAAAAAGTGCACAATGTTATTTCCAGAGGGTTTATTTGGAACATTATTTAGAAAGGATCTAGATAATGAATAATCGTTTGATTTGTTTTTGTAAACACAAAAATGCCAAACATCATCTTGTTCAAGTTTCTCAAATGTGAAGAATTAATGCTTTTATTTGACCTAAATGACAGAAAACCGAATGTATTTGTCTTATGGAAAAACAAATATTTCTATTAAATATGTCACATTGGGCTGTGGAAACTGATAAAAAGGCATTTGTCAGTATTTTCTAATATTTTGAAGAGAAAAAAAGGTTAGAAAATTAACCAATAGGAAAAATAGGAAAAAGACCAATAGTGTTCAAACGTTGTGGATGATCTGACATAACCTATATTGGATGCAGTACATAATTAGTGACGGTAATTTAGGAAAAGGATGTGGAATAATTGGATATATATGTCTCTGGCTTAAAACAGTATTTCCCGTCCGACTCTCTAAAAACGTTTAGGGACGGATGTAGGGAGGCAGAGATTCTCCCTGGATTAGTGTGTAGTTGAAGGCCGGCTCGAGGAGGAGCAGCAGATGAGCGGGCTCTGACAGAGGCAGGAAACAGAAAGGTTCAGAGAGTTCATGAAGAAATGGAGAGCTTTGTACGGACACAAGGCTCGGCTGTCACCACACAGGGGCCTATCTCCTCACTACGATCTGCAGTGGGCCACATACAACACACTCAGGCACAAATAAGCCATTATGTGTCATTCTCACTGTAGAGTCTTAAAAAATACTTAGTGTAACTGAGAGTAGGCAGGTTCTGCTGACCACCACAGCACTGAGGGATACAAAGGAGTTCGGGGAAGAAGATGGCTGACATTGGATCAGTTATTAGTACAGTACATGAATATTAATGATTCATTTGCATTTGGGGGGTAAAATACAAGAGGTACAAAGAGTTTGGTTTACTGACATAGCTTTCATGTTAAGGACATGCAAGCTGATCAATGGGCTTATATACAAGTAAACCATGTAGTTCCCATCTGTGTTCTTTTTGATGTCCTCATTTCCTTTTTCATTTGAGATAAATATCCGATTCGAGCCAAAAACAAAAGAGACCCAATACTACAAAAGGTTTCGTGGTTAATTTAAAGACTAGAAGCTGATAAGTAGTAAATGGTAAACAGTTTTTTTTCTTTAATGCAATGCCATTTTTATATAGATTGACTAATGGAGTATGTGATTTATTGTTTCAGTTCCATTGAGAGCTGAAGTTCACACATTTTTAAAGTTATTAAAAACATTTGCTTAACTTCTGCTAGTTCAAGCTTTCTTGTATGAGATCAGAAAACATATAATATACATTTCAACAATTTTCCATCAGTTACTCATTGTGTTTACCAATCATCATGTAGTCATGGTACAACTCAGAGAAAAGGAGAAAAGAAATGTCACGATGCCTCTCATGGTGGTTGTGCAGCTCTGTGAAGACTTTAAGAAAAGTAAATGTTCGGAAGTGTAGACCTACTTTGAGATCCTGTGCTTTAAAGACAACCTGCAGAATTATAGTTTACTTTCTATTAAATGGCATTCATAGAATGAACAAATGTAGTAATCTACCAGGTGACATATTCGAGGTATCATATCACTTATATGGTATGCAAAAAGTTACACATTGCGATGTGTGTGATTTGTTCTTTTTTGTGATTTTAAATATTTCTGGGGCGAATCTCATTATTTTCCAAGTCTTTTTGACCAAGGTTATGCATTTAAAGTGCGTCCAAAACTACGCGTCTCTGTTCATACAACATCTCCTTCATGTCTGTGCGTTCATGTCTGTTGTTGCTCTTAACAGGTTTTCCTTTTTTCCTGCTGAACAGTTATTTGTAGAGTTTATCCTAATAGAAATTGAGGACTTGTAAGAACAGAGGGTGTCATTAAAATTGTAAAGCCATGCAAGGCACATTTTAAATACAATGACTTGTCCCTTTCATTATAAACATTTGAGTAGAAAAACATTTGTGTTACGTTTTTTGAGAATAATAACTACCAGGATTACTGATTAGAAACAAAGCTCCAAAGGAAATCAAGACTTTGGATATCCAATCCAGGCTTTGTGCTTATTTTCTCTCCCTCTCTTCCTCTTCTGCTGAAGGCAGATTCAACCAGTCCAACTGGTTTCCAGACGAGGGGGGGGGGGGGGGGGGGAGGAGGAGAGCCTATAAAAGTTTTCTGCTGTATTCTCCTTCCTGAACAACCACTCAATCACTTCAATGGACAGAATAGAAAGCCTTCTGGGAACTTCATAAAACATTACTTTAGGTAACCAGCTATCATTGTGCACACATTTTAAATAACAACTACTGTGACCCTCCACACCCCTACATGAAAAACGATCAGATCAAAGTGTGATCCTGGGCTTCCCGTCTTCACTGAGAGTCTAGTGACTGACTGACAGCCTGGAGAAAGGGTCAGCTTGAGTTAGGCCCGCATAATAAATGAGCCGTGAACCAAGTAACAAAGACAATATCAGGAGACTTTCTTTTGCTTGCACACAAATACACTCTCTCTTCCCTGGAAAGTCAGCTGCTGAAAACAATTCCACGCCATGGAAACAACCAGTTTAAACACTGAGGCTATCGTACTGGAAAAACACAGGGAGAGGCGCAGTGTTCTTCCTTTAGATGTACAATTGTTTTATGACTTGAAAGAGATTTCATGGTAATCAATAAAGCTACTATAAAAAAAAAACCTTTGATCTTGATTAGCATTTTAAATAAATCATCAGTTTGATAAATCATGTTTCTCTGAATGCTGACAGAAAACGTATGATCTTTTATCCTTCTCGATTAATCTGCTGATTCTTTTCTCAATTACTTTGTTTATCACAATTTCATTAAGCACAACACGAGTTATTTAATGATCCTGTTTTGTTGGACCAGTAGTCCATAAAGTCAAAACAGTTTTTTAAATTATACGAAGCAGAGAAAAGCAGAAGAACTTCTTCCTTTATTTCTGGACTTTTTAGCCATTTTTACTTGAAAATGACTAAACTATTTAATTAATAATCACATTTGCCACAGATTATTTTTCTGTTTATCAAAGGTTGTATAAATGGTTTCATCTTAACTTTAAGGTTCCTCATACCCAGTTATGGCCTTTTTTTTTTTACCATATTTACGTGTCTCTAAGAGGCTCAGGCGGGACCTCCTCTGAGCCTCTGTGCTCCTGGGGGACGGTCCCTCTGGACACATTTAGAGTTATTATTACAGACAATCAGTGTTAATGGAAGGCGTGGATCTCTCAGGTGAGAGGCTCATTCAATCGACAGCCTCCCCAGCCAAAACACACCTGCTAATGAGTGAATCACTGCACAAACACACGCGGCTGCCAGGGGAGGCACCTGCCGCACCCCCCCGCCCGGGACCTGTTCGGCAGGCCTGATGTGATACTTTAATAGCAGCTATGACACATATACCTAAATATTTATGAAAAACTAAACATAGAAATGAAAGCTGATTTGAATTATCAGCTTGATATCTTGCAGGGACAATATGCAGACATATCAGGCTGGGATTAAGATTTGCCTCTGTGTAAAGTCTTGATTCTTAACGTTTTAACTAGAGGCTGCAACTCATCTATCATTTTTATAATTTGTATTATCAATTAATTTACCAATTATTTTAATGAATACACTGTATGGTCTTTTTACTGTTAAAGAAATAAGTGAAAAATGCATATCAAAATGTCCAAGAGCCCACGAAAACATATTTACGTCTAAGTCATAGTCCAAAAACCAACACATATAATAGATTAATATCAGGGATGAAAGCTTTGGCATTTTTGTTTAAAAGACATAACTTAAAGAATTTGTTGATTATCAAAATTGTTGCAAAATACTGCCTCTGATAATAAGATGTAATATTGTGATATTACAACCTGTGATTGGACCTCCAGATGACATTAGACTAACAAGGTTTTAACTGTAAAATGGGGAAAAACAGAAGTCAGAGTGGATAGATCCCAAGGAGGCAACTTACTGAAGGAAACTCAAAATCCTTCCGGTTGACTTGGTGCATGACATACTCGATTCGGGACTGGTTTGCAGGACAGGCTAACTTGCATGGCGGTGTGAGCGTGATCATGGCAGCAATGATCGTCTGAATGGAGAGAAGAAGAACCAAACTTAATACAATGATTTATTATGACTTTGAGGCAAACAGAGTACATTGTGAACTCCAGGAATTAACTTTTTTGTCTCAGTCTTGTTTCATACTTTTTAAACAGTAACAAACCCTCATCATTCTTCCCAATCTGGCAGAACATATTTGTACAAATCATTTAAAAGGAATCGAAAGATCAATGACTTACCTCTATAGCTTCTTTAATGTTGTTTTTAATATCATGGATTTTCTGTTTTTTCTCCCTGTGAAGAACAAAGACGTTTGTTTGTTTTATACAAAAGCATAAATTGAAAGAATGTTTCAACTTTATTCAACGTGATTCAATGTTAACAGTCAACACAGTTCATGACTTTGATCAATTCTAATTAAACATATTATTATTATCAATGGTTACGTAGGTATATAGTATTTCAGTCACTAATATGGATCATGTATCTGTTCAGGAAAAATCATATTTTCATCTGATACCAAACGAGAACAGCATTTATGAAACAGAGTGGGGGTGTGGAGGAAAACATGGACTTTAAGAGGACATTTTAGGTGTTTTGAATTAACTACAATCTACTATGAGCACAAAGTATGATCCAAAGCTTTAGCAAATACAATGATATGTTGTTGTCCATTTATTGTTGTATATTTTAAACCCTTCTTTCATATTGTTCCTTTTTTACTGTAACTTATTATTGGATGATAATTACAGAGTTAGACATCTCCTTATTAATAACCAAGTACCTTAAAATAAAACATTTAACATATATTTCTGTAATTACTAGTCGTGCTTTAATTACAGAAGACATTTAAAACTTTAAAATGTCAGAATTATCAATAATCATGAGGATAGAATAATCTAAATGTAACAGATAATCTGTCATTTGACGGAGCTTAAAAGTCCAGTTTCACAGAAAGCAATTCCTTTATCTAATATATATTACTTTGCTCTGGTCGTTATAAATCGGAATCAGATACAAAAATAACCCATGATGGAAAACCTGAGATGAAAGGAATTCACTTATCAATCTGATAATTTTGCTGCATTGTTTTGGGATAAACTCTTCAAAAAGGAACCTTTTTAGACAAAGGTTTTGTTGGTTTATCGAAATTTAAATAGAAAATATTTTGATAATAATTGCCGCTTCTCCAATGTGAATTTCTTTTCCCTTTCTACGTGAATATGTTTGCTGGTCAGAGAAAACAAGCAACAACTGCGGATGTCACCTTGCGATCCAGGAAACTATGAAGGGCCTCTTCCATATTTTATAAACCAAGTGATTAATAAGTAAATACAATAAACAGTAGATTTACCAATAATTAAACAAATTGTTACCAGAAACCCTATTTTACAATATGTATTTTTCTCACAATAAATAGAGATGCACAGATCAATTAAAACTTGGTGTTCTGGTTTTTAGCATGTACAATGATGTACTTATTATAAAATGTTATATATTAAACTTATAATGACTGTATGTTTGTTGCCAACATTATGGGAAAACTACTAGTCAGATTTTAATGAAACTTGGCAAAAGTTGTAATGTGAAAGAACTGATACCTTTTTACAGCGGATCAAAACGTCTGTGCTCTCCTTGTGCCATTTTAGTTTGTTCTGGCTACACTGAAAAACGTTCTAAAGTCAGGGGAACCAGTGATACCTCCTTAACATTTTTGATTTTGGAAGAAAATGGCTAAGAACTGATTAGAATCTGATTATTCCCTCAAGGAGAAGTTTGAACTTTGTAATTGTGGATTCATGGAGCTTCCCTTGGCTCCTTGTTCCTTTTCGCAGACTGACGGAGAGAGAGTAAGACTACATTCCTCACACTGCCTTTCTCACCCTCATCCCTCCCATTTAACTCCCCGTCCTCATCTTCCTCATCCTCCCGGCACCTTGCACCGGGAGGGGAAACCTGGCCAGGGGAACTCCTCCGGCCCAAAGAGAGAAACAAAACCCCCGGAGCTAAACCAGGGGTGGGGGGGGACAGCTGACTGTGGATTTGTCATTATAGGAGAGCGTCTGTGAGGAGCATGTGTTCGCCATGACCCATAAATAATCACATGATGATGCTCCTACCCAAAAAAACCTTTCTAGGAAAGCGATGATTAAGATTAGAAAAATGTGACTATTGTTTCCATTGCATCAACTAGGGATTGAGTTTTAGGAAATTCACAAAACAGGGCGGCTTTAAAAAACCCAGGGCAATGTTCCCATGAATAATCAGTAGAAATCTATATCAATGTCCCGTTAAACAATAAGAGGAAATGTACTTTTATTCTCTTTGGCTGAGGATAAAAGTTGCTCGTTTATATCGCAGGAAATTATTTATATTTTTCTTTGTTGTACTGACAACTGATAGCACTTTTAAAGCTTCATATATATACACTGTAAAATGTGTATATGTTCGACAATCAGTACAGAACATGAAAATGTTCAAGCTACAACAACTGTGATACTTTTATTATTATTATTTTCTCAAATAGTAATTTAGTCTACATAATATTGGAAATTCATTAAAAAAAAAGGTCATCATAATTTCATCATAAATATCTTGTTTTTTTTTTTACCAACAATCGAAAATGAAAGACATTTTATTTACTGAGATTTCAGCTAAATAGATACAATAGAAAGCAACTGAAAACAGTGAATCCTCACATTTGAGAAGCTGCAACCAGAGAATATTTCCCGATTTCTCTTGCCTAAAGATATTCATCAATTATCAAAAATACTGGCAATTAATTAAAAATAATACATTATTTTCCAGTAATTGCTTTTAAAAGTCATGTTGTTGTTATGCTTTGTCCAGATGTCGATTACAATTAATTACAATTAACAAAGAGATAATGTTCCACCTTGTTGGGAACCAAGCTCTAAACTAACTTTGCATGCAGGTCCATTTCAGTATCTATCAACCTTCCTATCACTTGTCAATGCAAGATACCCCATCATCACTTTATCAAGGTATTTGGGCAACAAGTATATACATATCCGAGTCACCCAATCACCCCCAATAATGAACTAGTTTAACGATGAAATATATGTGTCACAAATAAAACATGGAGGGAAACCACTTACTCTGCGTTGAAGCCATTGACGTGCAATATTCGCATCTGTTTGACTATCGTGCTTTTCCCGGATTCACCGGCCCCTGAAAGCAGAAAGAAAGGAAAATAAGTCAGAGATGTTTATCAAGAGGTGAACAAAACTCCTTCAAACTAAAACATCAATAATGGAGATCCATCTGAAACTAGACGATGATTGTTTGAAGCGTATCGCCAGATTTGTGAACGTTTATGCTGTAGATACTCTTCAGATAAAGGTTGAACATGGTAAGCTTATGAAATACAAGACATTAGTGAATATTAAACAACTAGTTCCCAACTTTCGTAGCAGTGCGTGGATGTCACATTTCTCAAAGTGGGATTTAAAACAAAAACGTTATAGTGGAAATAGGCACGTTTTTGTGCTTTATCTTATTACAGGGTAAATGGTTTTTGCACAATGTCATATCTATACGTTAATGAGTCCTTCTTTGTCTAGTTTGGTTGCTTATAAGCCTCGCTCTCACTATGTAATTCTGTTTGCTAACCCGGGAAAAGGAAGGGTTGATCTAACAAAGAAAGTAACACTCTACACTTGCTCCAAAAGTCGCTAAATGTAGCTATTATATGCCTTTTTGCAGTTTGGTGACATCATCTAACATCGGTGGCATAAAGCTTAGTGGTTGTGTCTCGTTGCAGTGAGGGAGAGTTGTCTACTGCCACTTTAAGAACATTTTGGTGATAAATTAATTGAACAATGTTGTATTGGTACTCTTATGGCGGTAAAGGATCTTCTTTACCTCCAGGACTAATCAGATATACATTAGCTCTATTTTAATTTGTTTTATTGAGGAGAAGTAAGATCTCATCAAGCCCTAATAAATCATTTTAAGAATAGAGAAGATGTAATTTTCTAAAATGATGGCATTATAAAATACGGACATGCATGTTCACAATGGAAAACACATTGTCCTAACAAACTTAAATTGAAAGAAGCCAGGCCATAACATCTCCCAACCTGGAAACAAGGAACTAGGCTGCAGGCCTGCCATTTACAGCCCGAGTGCAAGTGTACAAATCAAGGATCCATTTCAGATTAGAAAGAGCAGGACAGTGTTTAAAGGGAAGCTAGTAATCCTAATAGTAATCCTAATTTGCTCTCCGTACTGAAAGGGGCTTGGCAGGATACTAGCCCTGGCCTTGAGGTTCAGACTGTATCATGATGACATGGAGGCCTGGATGATAAAGCTAGAAATAGCATCATCAAATTAAAAATAGTTCACTTTTTTCAACGACTGATTAGAATATCCATTTTCAGAATAGCTAGTGAGGAGAGGATTATGCGAAAAGGTGAGCATGGAGTGTGACACACAGCACCAAAAATGGAGCCTAAGTATAGACCTTAATGACTCAAGGTGAATATACACAAACACACATGTTGCCATGTGCTGTCCAGTATATCTAAAAATGTTTATTGGTGTGACCTCCATGCTGCCTTTACACAAATACTGTCTGTCTGTCCACCATCTCTCACATGTTCTATAATGATTCTCCATGAGAAGCCATGAATGCACCAGACAGGCCTGCTTTTCAACTGTCCTGTGTCAAGACAGTGTAAAAACCTGGAGTAGAGACATCATGTCATTGCATCATAGGCTGTGAAACATGTTTTTGTATTTACATGGTTACATCAGTGGTTACATTTGTATTTAAACAGGTGTTTTATTCTGTGTGGGTGCAACAATTGGGTACAAAATGGGCCAAATATTGAACAGACACATATGCAATAATGATGACATTTTAGAAAACCTACCTAATAGTAGTAGCCGGTGAGTGGCCCGGTATATCTGTTTGTCTTTTTGGAGCTGCTTCTCTATCTTTTTGTTGGCTTCCCTCTGTGCCTTCTCCTCATTTCGTTGGTCTTCAGTCTTACTATTGCCAAGACAGCCCATCTTCCCAAAAAAACCCAGTGATAGGTTCAGGGGGGAGGCAGGGTGGGTGTTTTGGTAGGTAGGTGTAGGAAGGGAGGAAGGAGGGAGGGTGTTGATCAGGAGAAAATCAATCAATCCTAAATTCCTAGACTGGCCCAACAGAGAAACACCTGGCTCAAAATGGGTGACATTTATGTTGCCAGATGAAAGAAGATGTTAGGTAGTAGACGGTGAGCTCCACCAGGCTTTGGCACAATATGTATCCGATGGATGTGGCTATTTACTGGCAGGAGATCACTACATATAAAAAGCAGCAGAGCAACGATGCCGCCCTCTCAGTCGCTTGATTCCTGTGTTTTTCACTGTAAATCAGCAATGAAGTCATCAACATTGATATGAGAGAGTGGATGTGAATTTTCCAGCCCTGTAATGTACATGAATGAACGTCGGTGGTCCGGTTTCCTTATAGCTGTTTTCAACGTATATGTTTAGATGTCTAAGCAAATGTCTCCTCTGGAGCCCATCTTCGGCAGATATCTCACACTGCCATTCAATCCTTTCCCACACACAACACTATTTATCTCTATGATTTAAATGTGTATTTTTGCAAATGTTGTTTGCAATCCAACTAACCAAAGCACATCAGAGGGCGGGTGGGAAACACATAAAAAATAAATATTTCCTCTTAAAATGACGGCATGTGAATCATCAGGCTACACCGGGGCTTCTTTCTCTATCACAACTCGTCAGGAATACACCGTTTTTTTGGGAGCTGGGGGGGTTGTTATCAATAATATCTTGTTTTTAGCCGAAATTATTTCCTCTCCCCGTCCACAGATGCTGGTGCTTTGCTTTTTTTCGGAGGGTTTGACCAGACCCCAGAAGAAAAGAGGCCCCTTCTTCGTCCTTTTTCTCTCTGTCACGTTAATTTGTATTTCTCCTCACATCGGGAAGCAAAGGCGATTGGTTTTTGGCAGTCGGATGTCCTTGAATATAACGCGATATCCAGGTGATACTGGTGGAAAAAAGCCTCCGTTATTTCCCCGTTTGGCACAGGTACAGCCCGCTGTCAAGTCTCTCAGGTTTGTGTATTCCCTTTGAATCCGTACGGCAGATTATGGTTACATGTGCATGATACATGAACACACCGCGGTGCTCTCAGTCACTGTCCAAGACGTTTACCTTTAACCGCCGAGAGGCCGCGTCGGCTCCGGTGGACCGGCCGGGGAGAGCAGAATCGTTTCTTTGCGGTGTTACTCTGAATTATTTTTGCCCCCTTTTCTCTCTGAGGATTGAACATTGAGATAGATAGCGTTGAAGAGGTGGGGTGGGGCAAACGGCTCTCACGGAACCCTGGGAACGAAGAACCATTGTCAAGCTAACAAGACGATAATTCAAACTTCCGGTCGGAACTTTCACAATAAAGCCCCGATGGAGTCAATCTTAAAACAGTGTGAAACATCTGGGATTAAATTTTAGAGATATTTTTCCTTTTGCTTAAAATGATTCATTGTTTGTCTCTTATTTCAAAATGAAATGAAGGAAAACTATTTCGTAAAAATAGTAAGCGAAAACATGTATGACAAGAGTCAAGAATAATGTATGTAAAATATGAATTTACAATGAAAAGAGCTATACAGTGTTTAAAACCAAGATGTAATAAATGTGACACTATTCACAGTATAGAAAGAAACTGTCTTTTATCCTTATCCTCATCCTTTGCTTGATATGATATATCATATCATGTTGGTCAAGTAAAGGAGACTGGTGACCTTGGTGGACTTCCTATGATATTAAATAGTAAACTACATTACACAGCACACAGGCAGACACACACACACAACCGCGCAACAATATATATATTGTACTCGCTGAATATCAAATCTCTTAGAGAATTAACAATATATAAACACACAACGCTTGGGCATATATTAATCAAAATATTGGTACTTGCCTTTAGGAAAGAAAAAGTACTGCAAAAGTCAATAATTAATTGAAATACAAAAAGTATGTAATTAACACTGAGAAGAGTCTATTTGTGCTTGAGTAAATGTTAGTTACTTTGCTTCCTGAAAAAACTATTGAATAGAATAATCCAATTGGTACAAAGTAATGTATTGATACATTAAAATAAAATTGTATTTTAAATATGTATTCTTGTTAATACTATGAATTAATTCCCGTTTTAGATTCATTACAATTGCAAACATATATTTTGGACAAAAAACATCACATTACAATACCACCATTAACTATTGGCCTGCACTCAAATAGAACACATAATTACAAATTAAATTATATTTGTCATTGACTGTAACTCATATAATTGTTATTTTTTGTGAGTTGTCTACACCTGTGTGGAGCTGTAGTTTAACATCAAATACAAACTTTTATTGAATTATTTTGCTTCTTTTTTCCTATAATGTACGGCCCCTGACTCATGAAGCACTTAGAATGCGACATACACCATTCAATATTGCTTACACTTGAAGGCTAAATTAAATGAATTATCTGATCTGAAGACAATCAAATATGTTTACACTTCACTTTTGCTAATCATTGACAAAACGACATCATGCTTTTACTTTGAAGTTAGGATTAAAGTACTTCCTGTTTCCTCCTTGCTGACGCTTGACGCATCTGAGTGAAGCAGGTTGGATCACATGACTGCCCGGAGCGTCATGAAGCGGAGGTACAGAAGGGGAGAGGCGCCCTCTTTGAAGAAAAATGATTATCAACGTATACACCCGAAAAAGTATTAATCAATAACATTATTAATTTAAAGGTTAAGATATAAAAAAAACATTACATTAATTTAGTAGCAATAATAGGCTGGGACAAACGTACATTTACAGATATAAAGGAGGCTATATATTTTTGTATTATCACTAATTAAGAACTTTTAGTGTATGTTGTTTTTGACTGGGGTTGGGGATCAATATAATTTTATCAACCTGAGCCTGGTTTCAATCACTTATTGAATCCATTTGTCTCCAGCTTTATTTCAATTGATCAATACAGTTTGAGTAACATATAGAATGAAATCCAGATGTTTATGTCGGCTTAACTTCCCTACAATAATGGTGATTTTTAAACCTTTTCCCCCCTCTATCCCCTGTCATACATTTTGCACAGTTTTACTACATTCCTCTTCCATAGTTGAACAATTCCCTTTGAAGCAATTAAATCAAATGTTCCATTACAGTGTATTGTATAATGTACATGCAATACATTATACAGACATATAGCATGCATAAAACAAAGGGCATATTGGAAGGCATGATCAGTGTACCTTAAACAACTTAAGAAGATGAAAGTACAGCAATTGCCCTACCAAAAATAAAAATCTATAGGCCTACCAGCTTATACAGTTTTTGCTCAGAGTTTTACAGTGGTCCCTGTTATTTTACCCTTTTAGCTCTCACATGCATTCAAACACTGTCTGTGCATTACAAATCCCACACCCACAGACACACATGCAGAGAAAACACATACAAAAACAGCACCCTCGTCAAATACGTCAAAAGGCAAAGGAACGAAGCTCAGGGCAAACAAAGGTCATCAATGACAACTAAACGCTACCGTGGCTCTCTAGTTATCACCAGCACACAACTGAAGAAGTCAAAGAAGTAATGACTTAAAACTTTAAAACATGTTAAATGCAATGTTGTCCTGTATCTGCTGATGTGTTCTACTTTACAAACTTTAATACTCAGACCAGGAAGTAAGTCTTCTTTTCCAAAGGCCACACTATCTGGTATGTCTATCTGTGAAAACTGAACCTTTGTGCAAGTTCTTCCTCACTACAACAAGAGGAATCATATTCAAACAAATATATGAACTCAAATCAATTACAAGCATTTTAAAAGTTGAACATACAAAGATTTTTGCCCTTTCTTTTTACTTCTTTCTAAAAAAATGTCACTATTGAGATAACAGGAAGTTAAGAGATACAGAAGTAAACCAACAACAGATCACAAAGCAGTAAGAGGGCATTAAAAAAAAAGAACCAATGGGGCTGCATGCCTTAAACTGAAGAAGCAAGAATAAAAGGTGTCGCTTTACATTTGATTTAAAATTGTCAATGGTTTGAACAGGACTTGATAATGGGATGGGAGGCTGCAGTGCCAAGAAGCAGCAATACAAACATTTGTTCATCTTTGAGTGACCTGCAGGCAGACAATGGGGAAAGTAATGTATTGCGGAGCTGATCAAATTAAGGCTTTATGATCATAAAGTAAGATTTGTTATCCATTCTGTATTTCTCTGGTAACATGCAGCAACAAGCCATGCAGGAGACAGAGAATGTGTTGTCTTTTCCTTTTCCTTTTAAGTTTGAAAAGATCCGTACAGTGATAAAGAATGAACTGTGCAAAAATACTGAGCACTGAATGTACATTTTCACAGTATGGAAACTGTTCAGTGTCAACTTAAGATAAAAGAACGACAATTCTCCTTTAAAAAAAGTCATAATCTTGTTTAAGTTCATTTGTATTTTTACTTAATTTAGAAGACAACTATTTCAGCCAGATGCTGAAATATGAATGTGAGGAGCAGTACATGTTTTCACAAGTTGAACCTAAAATATCTTTGAGAAAATAAAATGCAAAGATTTACATATTACAGTAAAACAACTATTGTTTAACTACCTCTTAAACAGTAACATGTTATGCCTGTGATGGTCCTCTAGATGGTAGCATCTCTCATAACCTCCCAACTGATACCCAGTATCAGGCTACACAGTCTAAGTACGTGAATACTGAAAACTGTTAGAGTTTTTAACATCTGGATCTTTTTGTGATGGAATAAAGGTTGCATGATCACAATTCTATGAAAAGACAAACTGTATTTTTACAATATATATTTAAAAAGTGTTTTTAATTGTTTTGAACTATTACTTAGAATCCCACATGGGAACAACCTGTTTGGTATTTGTGTGTGTTTACAGTACATTGATATTCATGTTTTTAATAAAATGGGTGTTATCTTGCACTGGCCAATTATCCAACAAATGATCCTCTTTTCACTTCCTAGCTGTTTTTTGTCATCATAAGAACTCACAGATGTGTTTAATCCACAATGTTGTTTTGTCATGCATCATTGCAACTTTTGTCTTTGTTGCAACAGTTGATAATTCCTTGAATCAAACATCCCTCATGATTTATTGTATAATTTGCATGCAATACAGTAAAGAGAAAATTAAACATGCACAAAACATAAGGCAGGATAGTGGAAGACACGATAGGTCAACCATAAACTAAAAACCATAAACTAAAAAGTATAAAAGTATCGCGATTGCCCTCAGATTAATTATTGTATCCATTCCTGTTTATTGTTATTCTGCTTGCCGTTTTCATAATGTGTTCAGGCTCCTCATATATTATTGCATGGGGTGTTTCCCCAACATCACTGGTGACATCATTTCTGGTGCTGTATAAAAGATGGGTGAGAGAACTGGAGCCTATCACAGACCCTCAGCTGCTCTGTGTACTGAAGCCGACCATCATGCGTGAAATTGTGCATCTGCAGATTGGACAATGTGGCAACCAGATCGGCTCAAAGGTAAAAAAGCAAATCCTTCTCCAAAAGTTATAATGTGCTTCATTAAAGTTATTGTTTAAGATTACAATTAGTTGAGCTTTGTCACACTAGATAAAGACAATTTGAAAATGTTTTGAAATATATATGCATATTTAAGATTATTTATGTAGATTTTTTTAATTATATAAAGAATAAAAATATATAGTTTTCCTTTATAGATTTTTTTAATGACGCTGCATATTTAGACATATTCTGTCACTTTGCATGGTGCCACCAACAGTTGTGAGTGACACGGGGTGTACGCTGTGAGGCATTCAGGGGAAAGATAAGGGAAAAGCGAGACTGGCATGGGTGGGACATTTGTTATCATGACAACACAAAACAAGAAAGAGGAACTACAAGATATGACGGCTAACACATCATTCTGTGTGACATTCGAGGACATTGTGGTATAAGAAACTAGCAGTCATTATGTAGAGTGTATCATTTTATCATTTGTAGCAGAGATTCTTGATCTGGTCAGAACATCATGAGTTGCCACAGATGAATACAAATTGCTTAAAAATGTTCTTGTCGATTCTATCTATTTTTAATGATTGCTCACTTGGAATTTGTTTTTCAAGTTTCATCATTTTAAAATTATGATAAGCAATGCTATTAAGTAATTACTACTTGTACTAGTTTATAGCTTGTGCAAGTTAGGTTTCCGTAAGAATAGTGTCATTTGACCATTTGTAAATGAGGAATAGCAAATTACATTTTATTTACAATAAAATGTTTTGAGATTTTTTTTAAAGAGAAGAAGTATTAGTGACTTTGCACATTTGCTTTTGGATGAGGTGCAACATATTCAATGTTCGGAAGTAAACCAAAAATAAACCAAATATTTTGATTACATTTGATTACAGTTTTTCTTCATTCAATATATGATGTTATTAATTTAAATAATCTGACCCCACTCTGCTCATAATGATAGGTTCAGCAGTCATGCACTGACTGAAGAGGTCTACAACATGAAACCATAAAGTTATTCTCCACAAAAACAGCCCTACCTAGAATTTTAAAACTAACTTGACTTCAAATACATAAACACTTTAAATCTGGTGATGTTATAATGATGATTTTCCTCTTTGGCACTATCTTTTCTAGTTTTGGGAAGTGATCAGTGAAGAACATGGGCTGAATGCAACGGGCATGTATGAGGGGGACAGCAGCCTCCAACTGGAGAGGGTCAACGTCTACTTCAACGAGGCTCATGGTAATGGAGAGGTTATTTACTGTTCACTTAATAACCGGCACTAATTCAGTTTATTTCATGATAAAAACTTGAACATATCTTTAACATATTTGAGTTCAGAATGCACATTTCCAGCTATATCATTTTAAAATGTCCATTGTTTGCAGGAGGTAAATACGTCCCTAGGGCCCTGCTTGTTGACCTGGAGCCTGGTACGATGGACAGTGTAAGAGGAAGTCGCATCGGAGCCCTTTTTAGGCCGGACAACTTCATCCATGGTGAGACAAACAACAACATCCTACTGGGAATACCTGCTACAATTTGCTTTATGTTGTTTATAAAGGCTATTTTATATAACTATCTGTAAAAGTAAAGACACATGTTAACTTCTTAACACATGTGGTATTTTGGATACAAATGCTTCCCAACTGGAATAAATCCTGCATATAAGTTGTATCATGTCTGAAATTAAGTGTTTTTAAAATCGTCTTGTAATAAACACTATCCATAAAGAAGTGGCACAACGTTTTTGTTTTAAAAGAAGAAATACTTCCCAGAGGAGAAATAAAACATTAACACATTACATACATGCCCAAAATAAAAAAAACATTCGAAATAAGGAACTACTTTTTCGGTGTTGCAGGGAACTCAGGAGCTGGGAATAACTGGGCGAAGGGCCACTACACAGAGGGAGCGGAGCTGGTGGAGCAGGTGATGGACAGGGTTAGGCACGAGAGTGAGAGCTGTGACTGCCTGCAGGGCTTCCAGCTGGTTCACTCCCTGGGCGGAGGAACCGGCTCCGGCATGGGAACCCTCCTCATCAACAAGATCCGAGAGGAGTACCCTGACCGCATCGTCAACAGCTTTAGCGTGGTGCCCTCCCCTAAGGTCTCTGACACGGTGGTGGAGCCCTACAATGCCACCCTGTCAATCCACCAGCTGCTGGAGAACACGGACGAGACCTTCTGCATCGACAACGAGGCCCTCTACGACATCTGCTTCCGCACCCTGAAGCTGACCACGCCTACTTACGGGGACCTCAACCACTTGGTCTGCATGACCATGAGCGGGGTCACGACCTCTCTCAGGTTCCCTGGACAGCTCAACGCAGACCTCAGGAAGCTGGCTGTCAACATGGTGCCTTTCCCTCGCCTCCACTTCTTCATGTCGAGCTTTGCCCCCTTGACGGCCCGGGGCAGCCAGCAGTACCAAGCCCTCACGGTGCCTGAGCTCACCCAGCAGATGTTTGACGCCCGCAACATGATGACGGCGTGCGACCCGAGGAGGGGGCGCTACCTCACTGTTGCTGGCATCTTCCGAGGGCGGATGTCCACCAAAGAGGTAGACGAGCAGATGCTTGCAATGCAGCAGAAAAACAGCAACTACTTTGTGGACTGGATCCCCCATAACTGCAAGGTAGCAGTGTGTGACATCCCACCTCGGGGGCTAAAAATGGCCTCCACCTTCATCGGGAACAACACAGCCATTCAGGAGATTTTCCGGCGTGTTGGGGAGCAGTTCACCTTGATGTTTAGACGGAAGGCTTTTCTTCACTGGTACACCGGGGAAGGTATGGATGAGATGGAGTTCACAGAGGCAGAGAGCAACCTCAATGACCTGGTGTCGGAGTACCAGCAGTACCAAGAGGCCACCTCTGATCTAGATTTGGGAGCAGAGGATGAAGAAGAGGAGGGACCCTCATCACCAGTGACAACGAAAAGTCAGTCCCAGGTGGAAGTTCAACTGGAAACAGTGAATGAAACGAGCAAAGGCACAGAGGGATGAGTGGAAGACGTATTGTGTGGTGTTAAGGTTTGAACCCTTGTTGGAACAATGTGGAAAACTCAAGTGGAACTGTTGGTCTGAAAAGGAACTGTTTTATTTTGTAGTTTTCTTGTGCTTTGTTTGAATTAGACAGTTTTGACTTAATCAGGATGTTACATATTTAACAAGAGTGCTTATTGTCTCTTATGTTGTTCTTCAAAATATGTGTGATTGTGTTTAAAACATATGTTTAGTATGTTCTTTCTTTCTTTCTTTTATAATGGAGTTTTTTTGCGTGTTTATGGGACCGAAAGTGTGGACAATTGTATGTTATGCCAGCTTTTTATAATTCACAGCCATTAAAATAAATTGTGATGTTAACAATTTTCCATTATCCTATTAGAGTAAATGTTGCATTGAGTGGCTTTCTATCTAAGTTATTATGGGAATTAAAACCAATAACATCAAAGAGTGATTTTTTGTTATTGAGAGTACACATTAATACAATAATAAAAAAATAACAAAGTTTGTTTCTTTATTTTTATTTTGTTCAATCATTTTTTAAACTCGACCCGACGTTTCTAAACTTAGCTTCAGTGATGGTCAGTTCTCTGACAGCACAGGGACACCGTTCAAGGCTGTCGCTCAGTTTCCTTTAACTGTAGCGAGTCTGTCACAAGCAGATTACACATAACTTGGACCGAGTGTCTGCACTTTGAGATAAGCACACATGACGTGGAGAAGAGTGACTACTGCCCTAAAGTACACAACTACTCACACAAAGGCTATACGGGGATAAAGGAGAAAGGCGAACACCAATGTTACCCACATCTGAATATAGGTTATGGTGACAAACCCAGGATTCACTCACTGAGGTCAATATGTTTAAAGTAATAACCTAGCAATGAGTTCAAAAGGGGAAAAAGCTGTCAACTATCATACAGATCGGGTTAATATGCAACAAAGTTTCATCATAACATGAAATAAAACTTGATAGTCTACTCACTTGATCCTGACAGTCAGCATTAATACTACTGTATTAAGTTTAATGGATATCTATTATTGATCATATGAGCAGCCCTTCTGGTGCCAGCTTGGCTAGAAATTGCCCAATCAACAGACTAGTGGTCTAACCTTTTTTATTGTGACCAGTTCAAGCAGGGTGAGTTTGTATGTTTCATTGAAGAAGACATTAAGTCAGGAGAAAGTACAATTATCTAATAATTAATTCACAATATAAGATAATACAATATTCTGAAATAAATATAACTTTATCCGCAGATCCATGTTTTTTTCATGTTAATCGTCTCTCTCTGTGGTTCCCAACTTATGTTATAGAAAATTAAGAACTGAAGATGTTAACAGCTGAAAATAATACAAAAGTATTAGCCTTTCAAATGTGGTGTCCAGCTAACCCAATGGAATAAAGCCTACACTTAGAGCAATACTGATGACTTTTGCATCGTTTTGCATAAAGATTTGCCCATCGATTTGACCTTGTTTCGTCAACAGCTGATCTCTCATTCATTCAAGGTTGCAGAGAACTTCCAACCTTCACTAAGCTGAATTGTGTAACAGCAGAGGTGCGTGTGTCACCTGACAGAAAAGAACATATTATGCATGCTGTGAAGGTAAAGAGCGATGTAAATCTTTGTCATTCACCTATTGTCGAGTTTAGATTTAAAGCATTTATTTTAAGCTTTCTGTAGTGACAGTAGACTCGTGAGGCACATAGGTAGCGGAAGTGCGTCAGTCAGTGACTCATGAGTGCAGTGTCAATAGGAGGGATTGCAGCAGCCTCTGAACGTGGTTCTGATTTCAGACAGTGTGAAGTCACTTACCGGGAACCGCGCCTCCACCACCTCACCAGCATCTGTAAACTACTGCAACCATGAAGATCTGGATGTCAGAGCACGTATTTAAGTAAGTATACTGTTTATCTAAATAATGGGATAGTTTTATATTCCGGTGATTCAGAGGTGTACTGGCACGCATTTACCGGCTTCGTGTTTTAATCCCCTATCCCGGTGAAGAACACTCGCGTGGTGGTTCATGACAAATAGAACAACCAGAAAACGATGCTAATCATAGATATAAAACATATGATAACTACAACATCAGCGTTACGAGTTAGTGTGCTAATAGAAGTTAGTAGCCTGACTTTGAATTGCCAGATTTCCCTCGGTGGAACGGCTGTCACTCTGTCTGTGGCTTTATCGTTTAACAAAGCATTCAATCAGACACGAACGAACACCAATGTATTCATTTATAGCCTATAACTTTATATTTATAAGTAAACTTCAGATTTTGAATACTGTCTGGTTGCAGAAGAGAGATGTCATGTTGCGTAATGATCAGCGGGTCAGCCCACAGCGCGCGACCTTTCCCCCACATCTCCTTTATGCCGGTTTTGCCACACTGGGTTACGTCGGCGCGTTCACGTGTCTCCGTGGCAACCATCCACCACTACGTTCTGTGAACTTGACTTGAAAGTGATACATACTTCCATTCATAAAAAATGGTGCCGTATCAACAGTATGGAGGGAGGCCTATATGGCAAAAACTGTTGGTACACTTTCTGTGCTCCTGTCTCTTCCACTGAGTGTTTTGTTTTGTTGCCTTGTTTCTTTTAATTTTCAGTCTAATATAGTCTATTGTTAGTTGCTGAGCATCATTTATTTACCCCATTGTTCATTGAATGATATCCTTCTCCTTTGTAAATTAATTTCCTGTCTTTTTTATTCGTTATTCACTTCGGCTAAAAAATAATAAATATAAACACATAGAAAAACAGTTGATATTTGAAACTGGGAAACATAAACGTGCAGCCTCTTTGAAAAAGTTGCAAAGTATTTACAATTGGTGCTACAAATTAGTCCTACTTAGTATAATAAAAAAAGCTGGATTAAAAGTAGAAAAGACACAAAAGTCGGCTACACTGAGGTTTTATAGTGCTATTTGAAAAGAAAGCCTTATATAGAGGAGATTCAATGTCCTTTTACATCATTTACTTTTTCATTCAAAAGATCTTGACAGGTTTTAGTTTGCTTTGTTCATACCCACGAATTTGAGCTTTAATTTAGTTTGTTAATGTTGTCACATAAGGTGTGTCGAGAATAGAATAATAATGTAGAATAAGCACTACACTGTTAAATGACTCCATAAGTTGAGTAAGTCCGGCATTGAAAATGTAACATAACTACAGTTGATGTGTTCATTTGTATAAATTGTTATTGATGCGTTAATAATATTTTGGGGTGTTTTTTTTTGCTTTCCTCTAACAGCCATCCTTGGGAGACGGTGACCAAGGCTGCCATGCAGAAGTATCCCAACCCCATGAACCCCAGTGTGATCGGTGTGGATGTTTTGGACAGAGACATCGACAAACAGGGACGCCTCCACAGTAAAAGACTGCTCAGCACAGAGTGGGGTCTTCCCTCCATAGTCAAATCTGTGAGTACCAAAAACTGGTCTGCTGCCAGCATCAACGTCAAACATGTTGCTGCTCCAACCTTGTAGTTTAAGATAAGATAAGATAAGATGGACCTTTATTAATCCCCGTGGGGGAAATTCAGGAATTTTAGTGAGAGTGAAAGTACAGTACAGTATTCACACAAGATTAATACAATTAAAGATCAAATTAAATTAAAGATAAGATAAAAACCGCTTTGGTCACACTTAACATGTTCACATGCGACTCTGAATGGAAAAACATATGACGTGCACTTTTGTCCTCGTGCTTTTCATTTATGTTGTGATGAAAACAATATGACACTTGATAACAATGTTTCAAAACATAGCTGACACACACTATCTTCTTAAATAGTAATGATACAATTACTTAAAGGTGGGGTAGGTCATTTTGGAGAAACCGGCTCGAGTGCGCTAGAATTTGAAAATACACAGCCGGAACAAATCTGCCACTTCCTTACAGAGCCCCTCCTCCAACACACACGAACGCGCACATGACCAATGAGGGCACAAGATAAGTTTGTGCACAGATGGAAGGCTGACAGGCAGGTAGGCCATCCAGTTATTTTAGCCGGGCCGGCTAAAATGATTGGTCGTGCTTTTTACAGTACTACGGCTTCCACAGATGACATTTTTTTATGTATTTTTTGTCAAAGCACTTAAGATATTCATTGCTATCGGGATGTTAAGAGCATTCCATGGAATATAACAAAAAGTGTATCTCGAGCCGGTTTCTCAAACGTACCTACCCCACCTTTAAAGGACCGACACACACAACATCATAATCCATCCTGAGTCTGTTATTCACCAGAGATAGGTTAATGCTTTCCATCCAGCAAACGTGACCTTAACCCAGGAGGCTATTTCTGTCCAGGGACAGCAGACTTGGTGGCTGACTTGATCCCAGAGACCTGGCTTTGTGCCACATTCGCGTTGTACAGGACACCGTAGTGCCATTTCTAACATTGCTGAGATGCAACTGCATGTGATGTAACTTTCCAGCATGGTTTAAACCCGAGGTCACTAGAATGAGAAGCAGTGACAGAGGCTTGTTACAACATGTCTTTTAGATGTTTCCCTTGTGTCTTCAGACTGATTCCAGCCCTGATAAGGCTTTAAAGGATAATATAATGTTGGAACAACTGTTCTTTAGAATGTATCTTTGCTTACGTGTCTGAGGACAGGGATGTTGTTAGTAACAACATCTTTGAATAATCCCTGTAAATCCACGAACAGTCTAAGACACAGACTGTGTAGATGATGGATAGCATATACATACACGTAACCCTTAATCAGATTGTCTCAAATTAAATCACTTCTGAGCCTCAGACTGTAAACCGGATGTACCATGGACGTGTCTTCCTTTGATGGCTGCAGATACTGTGGATAGTTAGTTAGGCAGTTATAAGTGGGCTTGAACATTAGATTAATACATAGCTCATCACATATTTTTAGCATAAACTACACTTATAAGAAGGCTAATGTCTGCATGAAGAAGATAAATATGAATGACACACAATGAGATTTAAATAAGACTAACATTTAATGTTAATTGTAAAAAATGTAAATGAAAGAAGTGTGTGAACTAATTCAACAAAGTCGTGGTTCAGTGTGGGCATGACGAGTTGAGATATACTGCATATTATTCAACTGTAATCTCCACTAGCATTGATGTGTTTTAAATGAAAACACGCATTACTGTATGTAACGTTTAGACAACAGATGAGTTGTGTATAAATGTAACACAGGACTTGAAGCTCTGTGAACTTAACAACCTTTTGGGGTAACCCCACCATTGAATAATTGGTAAATGTTTTAATAACAGGCCCCATCTCAAAGGTAAAAATACTGCAAAGTAACATCTGCAAGAAAACAGTCTTAACAGATCATTTCAGTTTGTAGTAAATAATATTTCAATGTCTTTTTTCTATTTCTTTGTCTTCAGATCATTGGTAACTCAAGATCATACACATATATTCAGGAGCAGTCGGTTGTGGACCCCATAGAGAAGACTTTCGAACTTCAGTCCTCAAATGTGAGTACTTATGAAACAGCACACAGCCTTTTAATGATGGTATTATTTAGATTTAAACACAGACATTACGCTTTGTGTGTTAAACGGTGAAACTTCTCTGGAATGAAGTTCGACATGCGGTTCTGAGACTTGTTTGACAACTCTCATTGTTGAATGTGACACCGTACAAGACAAGTTGTTCTTTCTCCAATCATTAACTACTTTGTCTTCTGCAGATCACTTTTACCAACTTGGTCTCTGTGGACGAAAAATTAACATACAAACCCCACCCTGAGGATAAAGACAAGTAAGCTTTTTGCAATGCATGGATTATTTAATTGAACTGATGAACCCTGAAGTTCTGAAGCCTTTTGACAATATTAACAATGATCATTATTTTTAACTCTAGAACAATACTGACTCAGGAGGCGATCATTTCAGTGAAAGGAGTCAGTCTCAGCAGTTACTTGGAGGGAGTTATGGCCAGTTCCATCTCTGCAAACGCTGGAAAGGTAAGAGATGAACTGTCTTTTATGTGTCATCCAAAACATGTGTGAGGCCCATTTCTGGTAGATCCAAAAATGTATAATGTTAAACCAAGCATCCGACTAAATGTTCTTTGGGTCCTGCACTTAAAAGAATCTACAGTAATTGTAATTTTCCTGCCAAGTGGCATGTGATCTGGCCTATTTTTTGGTAATACCTGCAAAATGATAAAACTGTGCTTCAAAAGATCCTAATGTTTTTATAAGGTTGTCATTTCTTAAAATGGAACAATACATGTGGTTCTTTAGTAATGATATTTTCTGATTATTTCATTTGATAGATTTCAGGATGTCATAAATTGACTTTTTAATACATTTATCCCATGCTACCTCAAAACACCAAACTTGTGTTGTTTTGATTAATAGATCCCCTAGCAGCAGATACATATTGTGCATTTAAGTAATCTCATGAACCCTCAAATGTGTGTGATTTTCTTCTGATTGCAGCAGGCATATTGTGTCCTTTCTTTTATTCCGCTTAATGTTATTCTCTTTATATTCCTACCTTTGGGCTAATGCTTTATATTTGTTCTTAATCAGGGCCGTGAAGCTCTGGAGTGGGTAATCAGGCGACTGAATGCAGAGATCGAGGAGCTGACAGCCACAGCACGGGGGTCCATACGGCCCCCCATGGCCGCTGCTGTCACTGAGAAATGACAACCGCCTCTATTTTCCAGCAGAGTCAGAGAGAAACTGCATGCCAATCCAGCCAGCCGTTTTATGGTGCTCTGATTCTGTTTTGGTGCTCTAGAGTTTTTTCGATCATACTAGGGTACAATTTATCTATCTCATATACTTTTTACTATCTACATTAGATATATTTTTAATAGCAGACTGCAACATAAAGTGATTCTGTTGAGTGTCTCCAGGCAATGCTGCCTGGCAGGACCGCATTGATGAGAGACTCGATCAAGGACATGTTTAGACACCACTGTTATCTGTGGGTTTGAAGACCTCAAGCAAAGAACTATCTGAAGCACTGGATGAACTAAAAACACAAGAAAAGTGCCAAAGAAGCACTCGCACCACTCTTTGTCCAGCACAACGCCAGCCAGTATGACTTCTCTTTTGACACTGACGGCCACAAGAAAAACACTTATAGTAAAGAAAAACAGTTATGGTGAGATTTGTAGAAAGGACCATAAAGAATACTCCTGTCAAGAGAGCATGGCACAAAACAATGCCTTGAAGAGGCAGGAGTCATGTGCAATAAATGTCAAGGGTCCATGGAAATGGTTTCAGGTGTCGGAGAGTAGAGTTTGTCCATGTGATCATCGACAATGTGACGTCAATGAAGTGTTTCCACGTCAGGTTTATTTTTGTAACAACCATCTCCTAAAAAACACTTTCTTTCGGGACCTCATTTATAACAAGACACAGCACTAGTCGACGTTCATAAGCCTGAATAATAACTGTGATTTGTTTTTATGTGATAACTAATATTGTTATAAAGGTATTTAAGTTAAATGAAGGGATCAAGGTGTTTGCCATGTTAAGGTTTTTGAAGTAATGTCTAAGAACTTTTCAAATGCTGCATCGGTATTACTTTTGATATGAATCACTTGGATGTGTGTAGAGAGGACAGTACACACTTACGAGTTACAGATTCACTGTATATGAATGTGTTTGCTAAACTCAAACAGTTTTATCAGTATGCACAAGACTACTTTAAGCTAAGACCTTTGAATTGACTTTTATTCGCACTTACAACATTTTCACAAAGAAAAGCTGCTACACATGCTGAAAATGAATCTGTGAATGATATCACTGTTTGAATTTGAAAAGGTATTTCTTTATGTAACAGACAGCAGTGTGATGATGGTGAAAGATTTACTTTCTTTAACATAATATACAAATATATTTTTTTATCTGTAATGGGAATATTTATTTCGAAAAACGGTTGTTTTGAGGTATTAGTTACAACTTGGGTTGAACATTAAGAAATGTGATATATCACTTGTGTGACTCCAATAAGAAAAGGTGTCACCAACTGCAGAATGTGACAACAAAATAAAATATTTAAACTTGTTTATAAAATATCTCTGCCAGTTATTACGTCGTAAAAAAATAACAATCAGATCAATTAAGAAGAATCTTGTTTTTTTAATTAGCATTAATTTTCCGTTTTCCAATACTTACAGCCTCATGTAGAGGTGATACTAGCTGGGGGTGTGTGTGGAGGCACCGTGCTGCAGCATGAGCCTGACACAAGCAGCACTCCCGCTGCTGCAAGAGTTGAAGAGAGTTGTGGCGCTATCTGTTGAAACTGCCTCCACCTATGGGGGATTTGAAAGAGTGGAGTGGATATTCATCCAAATTATTTTTTATTTTCAAGTCACATTATGGCCTATCTGAAAACATGTCCAGTGTTTATGATTCTGCCAAAATAGTATTTGATTGTCTTGGGAGGCTCAGTCAAGAGTTCAATAACTGCTTTCCCAAATAAATGTTAGGTGTGCTCCTCTTTATTATGTGAGCATAAACACTCGAACACCTACTGTGCACTGTAGACCAGTACAACTGGATTCTTCTAACATTGGTCACTGGTTATGATGCATTGGTGTAGCATTTTTGAAAACACAAGAGTCACATGCTGCCCCACTGTGGCCAAATGCTAGACTCCATTTGTAATGTTGTCAGAAACGGACTGGCCAGAGTCAATATTATATTTCGGTTTTTAAGTTGCTTTTCCTTTGTGTGTAGAAACGTTGCCAGGGGGTGGGGTGAGGGCTAAAGAAAAATATTAATTGGTGAATGCTATAAACGAGTTAACCAAGAAGGCACCAGAACTAGAGATGTCAAGTGGATTTAACCATAGGCAGTGGCGGTTCTAGAACATTTTACATGGGGTGGCAAAGGGGGGGCAAGAGGTCATGCCAGGGTGGCATGGGAAGGCGGACAGTACATGGTATTTTATACTGTATATAACCTATTTATTGTTAATTCATGCCCCTAACACAAGTGTTCTTAATGCACAAGAGAAACAAGGTGTTCAGACAAACAATCGGGTGCCCTTTGAGTCCCCCAAGCTTACTTCAACAATTTTAAATGAAACGAAACTACAAAATGTATTTTAAAGCAATGAATTAATGGAACAGGTTGTTTTGCATTACAATGTAAAACTAAATATATATATATATTTTGTTTTAAAAAAATTGGTTGTCTTAGTAGTAGACAGACATATTTGCATGTCCTCACTAAGCATTATTACATATTAATTTAATATTAAACAAATCAAAATGGCCAATTATCCCAAAATGTTGCTGCTAATATAATCATATGCTTGTCAACTTTAACTGATCAAAAAGAAATTCTGAAAAAATACTTGAATTATCTATGAAATTGCAATATTGACACACGTCCCTCAGTTTGTTTCAACCCCGTCACGCCATACCATTTACCCTCCTATTAAGTTAAAATAATGGATCAGTCCATGTGTGATCTGCATTGAGGGAATTACATCACAAAAGTCTTCTGAAGAAAAGATGGCAAAGAAAGTGTCAGTTTCTTCTCTTACCTATATTTCAGTTTTTGTATTTTCAGATTAAGATTGACAAGCTCAACATTTCAACTCTGTTATATGAATTAATAATAGTAATTTAAATAATTGTTTATTACAAAATAAACAATAGTTTTGCAAAATATTACAATTTTGTAATGTCCTTGACTTCCATGTGGTGCCATATCCTAGCTAAACAAGGTCTCATGGCTACTTTTTGTCAAAAACTTCAACCATGTTACATTTTTTCAAGGAAATTCCTAGTAATTATTTATATTTTGTGCCTGAGGTGGGAAAATGTAACTAGTCCACTACCAGATGTTATGACCAAACATTTTGGTTTCATTTTTCAAAGATGTAAAGACCCAAAAGGCACCCGATTCAGAGAATACTCAGAACTCTGTTTACTGTAAGTACAGTAAAAGTACTTCGTTATAATTAAGTACACAAATGACATCACCCATCTCTTCAGATAGCTAAAGGTGACCTGTGCAGCAACACATTTCAATCAATATTTGTCAATACTAAGCTGCTAGATTGTGCTGCTGTGATGGAATATGTAAGGAGAATAAGAACATACCATGTGGTCCAGCTGGAGTTTCATCTGCCTCCTGATCCCTGCCTCTGTCCCTCTTTCTGACACTTCATCTTTATTCCTCACATACATGTCGGGCCCTAACGTGTAAAGTTATACAAGCATTTGTACCAGTGCTTTTCACAAGTAGACTCTTGCAGGCCAGAGTAGCTGGAGTGAGTCAACAACAACACAAAGACATATCTGAGAAGTGATCAGGACGAACAGAAAGAGGAAAAGGAAAACAGAGTTCACTGAAGAGACCAGGAGGGTCAGAGCAGGAGGAAGAGGAGGAGATGAAGACATTAGTGAAGAAGCCGACAAGGACAAACTCTTTAATATTAATAAAACGCTGCCGTTTGAATCGATAGCGTTTAACAGACGGGCGCTGTTTGGGGCGTTACGTTACAAAATACTACACAGACAGCGCTAGCTGGGAGATCAATCACTTTGCTAAACTATGCGGTAGGCTACTATTAAATCCACGTAAACCACACATCACAGCAATGAGGCCAGATCAATGAAACCAGGATACATCCTTTACCGTAAAAACTGGATCTAAACACTCGGCTGCTGCTGCCCTCTGCTGTTCAGGAGGATTTTCCCTCTGACGTCACGCTACCCTTCTCGCCAGCCAATGAAAAACGAGCACAGAGCATTCTCTCAGCCAATCGGAGGCCGGGATGTATTTAAAGGTTGTGAACCGAGGGACGTTTGAAATCAAACTAGTAGCGTTTGAGGGAAGTGTTTGCCAGCGGCCACATTGGAAATTATATTGGCAAGATTTTGTTCTAGTTTGATTCCTTTTTATCTGCTTTTACCACCTCACAACATCGAGCTGGCTTTTAACAGGATTAGTATACTGTCCATCTCGCGGTATATTTATGTAGATACAAACCTTGAGCTCTCGTCAACTGGCCGACGTAGCTGCTAGCTAGCGAGGTTGACGTTAAAACTACCTGCTTGAGAGCTAGCTTACTCTTAGTTTGGATTCTGGATAAATTATCGGTCATTTCGGGCATTGTGCAATAACATAATCGGGTAAGTAATGTTATCTATGATAAGTGTCGAAAGTGATGTATGTTGTTGATGCTATGGTTGCCGACAAGCTAACAGTAGCTCAGAACTCAACGTTCACACGGTTAGGTAACATTAGCCAACAAGCGAAGAATGCTAACGTTGCATCTTCTTTTTTGTCCGTAACCGGCAGTGTGTAGTTTTTACAAAAAATAACATGTTTTATATGTATTCAAATAATAAGTAACAGATAATACATTACCTTGAAGAAATGACACCAATACTAATTTTAACGTAAGTGAATGTAGCCAAAGAAAATAAAAGGCTTTTTTTTGGGTTTGAAGCTCTACTTACTATCTGGCTTGTTTGATGAACAATGTAAAAAATAACCTCCCTTTTACCTATTCTTAGAATATGGACTCTTCTGCCAGACTCAAGATGACAAAGGACATGAAACTCCAAAGGCCAGAAGTGAAGGTACGATTTTACCATGACTATAAAAAAAAATACACTCACGGATTTCCATGTGAATGTGTGATGAATTCAACTTCAATTTGTTGTGAAAATCAGAGTCAATACTACAGCTATAACAGAATTAGCGCATGTAGTTGTCAAATGTAGAACTCATTTGTGTGCAAACCCATGTAGAGAAGATGGAGCTTTCATTCCTCTATCCTTTTTAAAAGCCAGTTTATTCAGTGTTTGGTGATTTCCTCTGATTTCAGACAAGCATGGATGGTCCAAAGCGGATTCCCGTGTCACAGCAGTCTCAGTCGGCTGTAGTTGCACCACCTCCACATCAGCGAGTTCTAGGCTTGTCAAATGGACCTCAGCGCATTCAGCGTCCTATGAGCCACCAGAAATCTGCATCTCATGTCTCGGTTGCTGTCAAATCTGCAAACCCCGCTGATCAGAATGGGAACCCTACTACTCAGAGTAGAAGTCGGGCAATGCAGCCCAAACGTGTGTCTCAGCAAATCCAACCAAAGGCAATCGTGCCCAAGGTGAATCCAGAGCCAGCCAAACCCCCATCGGAACTGGCAAAGCTGGAGAAGCTGCAGAGTAAGCCAAATATAAAATTGGACAATCTAATCAATAATGTATCCTGTTTTTCTGTATGCTAAAATGTGTTCTTTGTGTCTTTTTCTCAGCCAAACCTCCCAAGATTGATTCTGCAAAAGCCTCATCAACAAATAGGTATGTGAAATGATACTCGTATTACTTATTTTATGCATAAAGTTTTTGCGTGTTGTCTGTAACTCTGCACATTTCTACTTGCAGCCACCGATGGAGCCTGGAGAACTTTGACATTGGCCGTCCCTTAGGAAAGGGTAAATTCGGCAATGTCTACCTAGCCAGAGAGCGACAGAGTAAGTTCATCTTGGCCCTGAAGGTGCTCTTCAAGAAGCAGCTTGAGAAGGCGGGGGTTGAGCACCAGCTAAGGAGGGAGGTGGAGATCCAGTCTCACCTCAGGTAATGTGTCATTCAAATGATGTGATATGATGCCAAGTATGAATCCTGTCTGTTACACAAAGTGGTGGTACAAATTATTTAATTTCAAAGATGTCTGAATCGCGACAAGATAAACTTGCTTATTAAGAGAGAAGATCACTGGCCAAACTATAATGAGCAGTTTGGAGAATAATGCACATATGTCTTTAACTGTACGCATACAGTTAAAGACAGGCTGCTATAGTGGACTAAATCATTCTATTTCTATAGTTGGTGCACCCTGCTGCGTGCCATTTCTCTCTTTTGAATTGGTCAAATGACAATGTTAAACCTGTATGGCATGTGTTTGTAGCAAGCGTGTGAACACTGCTTCATTTGCCATCCTGACTCTCATCTGGTCTCTGTTTAAAATGTAAGTGCAGGGAATGATTGCATTTTGATAACCAGGCTGTTAAAATCCTTATGTGGACCTTCTCTTGAAAGCAGCCGCTGGGACATTTGATTAATTTAGTTCTGTCTTTTTCTCTTTTAAATATTGTTTGGGTCCTTCAACAACATTTCTCTAAATACTCCTCCATCTCGCCCTCCTGCAGGCACCCCAATATTCTGCGCCTCTACGGTTACTTCCATGACTCGACTCGTGTATATCTCATCCTGGAGTTTGCACCCAAGGGTGAATTGTACAGTGAGCTGCAGCGCTGTGGACACTTTCCTGAGGACAAAAGTGCCACAGTAAGTGCCAACTTTGGAACTTTTGTGAAATGAGTGCTAGTATAGGATTAAAGTCCATATAAGGTGTATACTCATTTAAAAAATGTTTTGATGTTTATTTTCTATTGAACATTTTTAGGAGGATGCTGACATTGTATTGCATGTTGTATTAACCATTCTTAATGTGCTGTTGTAGTACATCATGGAGCTGGCTGATGCCCTCAACTATTGCCACTCCAAGAAGGTGATCCACCGGGACATCAAACCAGAGAACCTGTTGCTGGGGGCCAACGGGGAGCTGAAGATCGCAGATTTTGGCTGGTCGGTTCACACACCCTCCTCCAGGTATGTGCATATGCTTTTGTACAAATAATAATTTTTTGATTTAACCTGTTAAGCCCCAAGCCTTGAGGAAGTGTTATTGGAAATGCTGTATTCTCCGCTAGAGAGCTTCACCTCAGCCATTTCGAATGTGGCGCGCTCGGCAGCAGATTGATGCGCTGCAGAGGTTATGATTATGCGCGGTCCCACGGGGGAGAGGTCTGAGGATTTAAACGTTAAACTAAATTATTATTATTTTAATATATTTATTATGCAACACCCGCGACCCGACCCGCATCATCTTTGTTTTACCCAGAACCGAACCCGGAAAAAAGCGTTTGAAAAAATACCACCCGCAAATCACTTTTTTTGCGGGTACCCGACCCGATGCAGGACTCCGGCAGGTACTACCCACAAATAAACATATGGACATGGGTTACTATTTTAAAAAAAAAAATGGTAAATTTATTTAGGAACCTATCAATGTGATTTTAAGTGGGGGTGGACCTCAAATCCTCTAGGGGGGTCCGGGGGCATGCCCCCCCGGTAAGATTATTTTTTTTTATTTTGGAGTTAAATGCATCAATCTGGTGCATTTTGAGGGGAAAATAAAGAGACTAGATCTATGGGAACACCTATATGAAACAGAACTGTATACATTTCAATAATCATAAAATCATGGCCATAACCAATAACATCCCATTTCCAATATGAAAAAAACACTGAAACTTGTTTGTTTATGGTTCATTTATAGTTGTGAGTGTGTCTGTGCTCCTGAATCAGCCTCTCCTGTCTCTCTCCTCTTTGAGGCAGCAGCAAAGACTAGTTTTAGCTCTCAACAAGTTTAACAATCTTACCTTTTTTCACCTAGTTAACTTTTTTTTTATTCATGCGTATTTTTACTAATCACTACCCCCTCAAATGGAAATATGTGTTTACATAAATGGTGACCAAACCGTTTGAGACCCACTGAGAACTTAGACTAATGGCGCATTTCCACTACACGGCCTCGCTCGGTATGGCTAGGCCTCGTTAGGACTGGCTCACTTTATGGCGCATTTCCATTACAGTTTAGGAACTGGGGTAGTACCTATAGTAACGCAGTGTAGGCGGAGCCGTGACGTCATCTTCAATGAGAACCCCAGAAAAACAACTTAGCTGTTAGCACTCAGAGCTCACAGCTCCTCATATCTGTTCAGAAACTAGACAAAAGTTAAACAAGTACAAACCACAGACTGCCTGTGTCATGGCGAATACAGTCGCTGCTTTATTTATGTCTGTATAGGCCGTTGTTGTGAGTGTGGACGGTCGGAGCATATACTGCGTTAGCTTAGCCAATCTCCATTTAGAAAACACGCATTTTTAAAAGGTTTTTCGCCTGCCGTCTGTCTGCAGACTTGTCAAAGCATTAATTCATGGTTTTTACTAACCGGTATCAGTATGTTGTTACTTCGGCATCATTTTGAAACGTGTATTACAATTGAATCACGGTCTAATATGTTCATTTTGTTGTAGTTGTAGCCCCCTTGCCAGCGATTCTCTCTAGTTTAGCATACTCAGCCCGACTCAGCCTGGTTGTTCCTGGCCCTACAACCACGATATTATGGGGCCAGAAAAACTGTGAATTAGGACCCGCTAGCCGGTACTAGGCCAAGTGGAAACGCAACCAAAGACGGGCCGCTGACGTCACAGCTCTCTTAAACGGGGCTCCACGCTGTAGTGGAAACGCGCCATAAATTAACTATCTAAACACTCAGAGTCCTTTACCTCACCTGAGCTGAGGTTATCCCGAGCTTGAATGACACACAGAGACCAATCAAGGGCTTTGATTTATGATCTGTATGACAGTGGCCATGTCGGCAGGCCACATCATGTAGACAGCCAGTCACCCTGTGTGAGGCAGGCCACTTAACAGGCCAGGCCATTCTCCCGATGGCCAGTCCGGGACTGGGTACAGGAGGCGTAGAGCGAGGGATCATTGTCCACAAGTTAATCGATCGCAGATGGCGTCGTGGTCACGGACGGAAAAAAAGAAACCTAAATGGGTCGCGAAATATACTTGGGCGGCCGTTAATATACCTGGGCAGCCCGCCCAAGCAGTGTTAATTTCGTCAACGAAAACTATGACGAAAAATGTTCGTCAACGACCTTTTTTACATGACTAAGACGAGACGATGACGAGCTAAAAATAGATTCTTGATAACGAAAATTTGACGAAATGCATATTTAGTTTTCGTTGACGAGATGAGACCGGACTAAGGTGTTAATGGTGGACTATCGGACATTCAAAATGCAGGGTATTTCCCCCCAAGTGTCCGTCTTGTCTGTCAAAATGCATCTTACATTTCTAACTTGCAATATCATTATTTCCGCTCTCTTCACTCCAGAAGAGCGATCTCCCTCTCTCTCTGTGTGCGGGGGGCGGGGCCTAACAGACACGCTGCAGCGGCAGAGATCTGCCGGGGACGGAGCGTTCAGAAGTATAGAGACACTCTACAAGACTCGATGTGGACAAAGCTCGTTTGCCATGTTTTCGCGTTAGCGCGTTGACACGAGTAGAGTAGTCTGTCCAAACAGCCGGCCAAAAGGCGTCATATTCAGTCGGAGAAATGCACAATTTTCGACTTCCTTAACTCGTAGCTCTGTTGCCCCAATTACGAGTAACGTTATCACATCAGGTGTGCAGAGGTGGGAGAAGTACTCAGATCTTGTAGCTAAGTAAAAAAAATACCATAGTGTAGGAAGAGTTCCTCAAGTCAAAGTATTCTCATCAAAATATATTTAAAGTAGCGACAGTAAAAGTAGTCATTGTGCAGATTGGTCCATTTCAGAATAATATGATATGTTTTATAATGATTGATCATGAAAGTGTTCTCAAAGCTGGTAAAGGTGCAGCTAGTTTGAAGGACTTTGTATACTGCAGGGTAGCTTGTGAATTTACTAAAGTCTGAGTTAACACTTGATTATATTTCACATCATTCATCCAAATCTGTAAAGTAAATGAAGGTATTAAATACATGTAGTGGAGTAGAAGTACACCATTTAACTATGAACTGTAGTGGAGTAGAAGTACACAGTAGCAAAACATTTAAATACTCCAGTAAAGTACAAGTACCTCAACATTTTACTCAAGTACAGTACAATATTTTAACATAATTATATATATTTCATTTATTTCACATTTAAATAAAGCAATTAATTTGGTTAACAATTTGTTAGTTTTTTCCTTTAAAAAATAACAAAAAGTAAATACAAGAATACCGTTAAAGTACCGGATCGATAAGCAGTATTGATAAGACTAGTAGTACCGTAGAAAACCTTAACGATACCCATCCCTAGATATTACACAAGTAAAGTGTTAAGAGAGTGAAATGTTGCTTTACGAATTTCAACACTTGATGCTGTCACCTTGATTACAATTTCAGATACCTGTATTTGCCTAACTGAATTGGTTTAAAGAGAGAAAACATTTTGACTAAAAGTTGACTAAAATGTAATTTTTCATCGACTAAAAGTAGACTAAAACGTTTTGAGTTTTCGTCGACTAAAACTAGACTAAAACTATGAAGGATAGAAATGACTAAAATGTGACTAAAACTAATAACCATTTTCGTCTTAAGACTAAATAAAAAACAGCTGCCAAAATTAACACTGCGCCCAAGTATAGTCTATGTGTGGGAAACCCTGCATTTGTCACGTCCCACATCGACTACTGTAACGCCATCCTCTCAGGCATACCCACCATCATCAACTCTGCAGCACGGATCATTACCGGCACCAAAGCCTCAGAACACATCACCCTCATCCAACTCCACTGGCTCCCTGTTCAATCCCGTATCAACTTAAAAAACCTACTGCTCACTTACAATGCCCTACATAACCTGCCCCCCCCCCCCCCCCCCCCCATCTGGCTGACCTTCAGGAGTTCGTTCCCTCCGCTCCCCCTCTGCTGGTCTGCTAACCGTCCCCACCTCACGCCTCGTCACCATGGGTGCTCGGGCTTTTAGCTGCACTGCTCCCAGACTCTGGAACTCCCTCCCCCCGCACATCCGACAGTCAGACACAATCACCATATTCAAATCCCAATTAAAAACCCACCTGTTCAAATCTGCCTACTCACTGTAGTGCTCCTAATTATACGTTTCATTTGTGTCCACTTGATTGTCTCCATGATTTCCTGTTTGTGTTTTTATCATGTTCTGTTGCCTATTAGCGTTTTCTGTTTTTAACAAATTGTACGGTGTCATGAAAGGCGCCTAAAAATAAAATGTATTATTAAGGTAAGAAGCTTCCTCCGTGAAGCTACGTGTTGTGATGTCTGTTTTTTGTTTTTTGCAGATACGATAAGTAATAAGGGTATTTAAGCTGTGAGTTCTGTGCTGAGTGCGATAGCATTTTTTCGCTCGGGGCTCATTTAGACGCTTCTTGCGAGACTTTTTGTTTCGGTAAAAATGGTTCGTATCGTCAGGTAGCTGAGTTTCTTCCCGTTAGTTGGGTATGACGCATTCATACGTTTTTAAATATTAAGAAGCCCTCAGACGCTGTTTCTTGCAGTGATGCGTTTTTTTCCCCCGCCCGCGGGGGAATGGGGCTTCTCAGGTTAAGTATAATTGGATCTCTGTTAACTCGAAGTGTATTGCTCTGCTACATTTCAGGGTGTCCGCGGGGTCTTAAAAAGTATTAAAAGTTGATAAATCAATTTAGCGAAAATTAAGGCTATTAAAAAGTATTAAACGGCATTTTCCAAGGTATTACATTTTGTAGCTTGTTTTCAATAAGTATATAAATTGTCCAAAGAGGTTGTATTCTACAGTCTGCCTGAATGTAATCATTGCGTAGGTGTGTAGAGTGATTCTGTGTAGTTTATTTATGGCATCCCGTTGGATTTGACGTCATCTGAACAGGACATCGCACGCTCACTGCTTGATAGCGCACGAAGGTCCGTTTACGCCGGTTGTTAAACAACATCGTTATGGGGAAATGCAAGTTTGCGTCCAAATGGTTGGAAGATAAGGAGGAAGGACAATCGATACTGTATATAGTAAAGTGTGTCGCCAATGTAACCGGTTAAAACTCAAAGTGGCGATGAGGTCTTAAAATGTATGGAAAGGTCTTAAAAAAAGGTCTTAAAAGGTATTGAATTTGACTTCAGGATTCCTGCATATACCCTGCATTTGCAATTCACTTGTTTTGCTTCAGTATCTATGCTCAGGTACACCTTTCCACAAAAACTGTGAGCTTACACACTAACTTCATGCATTTCACTTTGTTATTTCAGGAGATCTACGCTGTGTGGAACACTGGACTACTTGCCTCCTGAGATGATTGAGGGGAAAACTCATGACGAAAAGGTTGACCTGTGGAGTCTGGGCGTCCTTTGCTACGAGTTCCTGATTGGAAAGCCCCCCTTCGAGACAAAAAGTCACGAAGAGACCTACCGCAAGATTTCAAGGGTAAGGGATATAAAGCTAAAAAACTATACTCCTTGAAAATTGCTTTATTTTCAACATATAAGAAGTTTCGTCTACACGATCACTCTTGTAAACCAACCATTTTAAAACTAATACTCCTCGTCATATTATTTGTTTTCTCCTGGCATCTCAAACTACGTGACCCAGAGCAAGTTAAGCATTAAATAATAATTATTCAAAACTGAATACATTATATAAACAGCTGATAATGCAACGTGGCAGAAAAACCTTGATTTCTGTGACTTTAAAGGAATTCAGTAAACGTTATATTTTGTACTTGCATTTATAGAAACTATTCAAATGTGGTGATAAAGTTTAGTTTTTTCTTTTTTTGTGTGGTTAAGGTACCTTGAAAGTGCTTGATTATCCTCTTAAAATGCTGTACAAGCCCGATGTTTAATCTTTGTACCAATATTTCTGTCTTTGTCACCCAGGTTGAGTACACTTACCCCGCACAGTCTGACATCAGTGCCGGAGCCAAAGACCTGATAGCCCGGCTGCTGAAACACAACCCCATGCACAGACTGCCCATCCAGGGAGTCCTGTCCCACCCCTGGGTGGTGGAGACCGCCACCAAGAAACCCACAACCCTCAGCCAAGAGGAGCCCGGCCTCTGAGTCTCATTGTGTCCCTCCACCAAAAACCTGAGGTTTGTATGTGGGGGCGCAGCAGAGCAGAACACAGGCTGAACAAAGGTGTGAAACATAAACACCAGTGTGCAGCTGATTTATCAGAATCTGCCCTATTGACTTTAATATCACTTCATTTAGATGTCTTTGTCTGCAGTCACTTCCTTATCTCTTTTATCTTCCTTTCCTTGTCTCGAATGCAATTCTATGCCTGTAAATATTTCACTTTTATTTGTGTAATTATGAAAATGTTAAGCTTTTCTAAAATGCCGTTACTTGAAATAAAGATAACTTATGGACTTATAACTTAGTGGAATATGTCACTTTGGAATTAAGCATTTATGGCTGTTAGTGAAAATTATTTTTGTTTTGTCTTAAATGAATTTCAAGCTCTCAGTTAATTTTCTTTACTACTGGGAAAACTAGACTTGCACTGATATCCAATGAGCGACATTCTGTCTACACCCCGCCACCTTTTTATTAAGCGGCCAGCAGAGGGCGCCAGCATACCACTAGAGTTCTCTTGGGAGCTCGTTACAGATAACAGTCAGTATTACATCCATAGTTAAAGGTGGGGTAGAAACCAGCTCGAGTGGGCTAGAATTTGAAAATACACAGCCGGAACACATCTGCCATTTCCTTACAGAGCCTCTCCTCCAACACACACGAACGCGCACATGACCAATGAGGGCACGAGATAAGTTTGTGCACAGATGGAAGGCTGACAGGCAGGTAGGCCATCCAGTTATTTTAGCCGGGCCGGCTCAGATGATTGGTCGTGCTTACAGTACTACGGCTTCCACAGATGAAATAGTTTTATGGATTTTTTGTCAAAGCACTTAAGATATTCATTGCTATCAGGATGTTAAGAGCATTCCATCGAATATAACAAGTGTATCTCGAGCCGGTTCTCAAACTTACCTACCCCACCTTTAATTAATTGGTTTCACACATTATTTCTTCTACAATAAAATGTTAAGATATATAAAGAAAGTATTTAGCCTTGTATCATGTTTTTTTTACTGATGGATTACAAAAACTCAATAAACTTGAATTACAAATAAATGTGCAAACTACAATGTAGATTACAGTTGGGGTCCTTTTTATAGATGACTCGACTGGGATGTTAACTAGAGGCAGTTACTTAAATGTCACCTATTGTGCAAAATCTACTTTTTCATGTCTTCTATACATAAATGTGTCCCCTTTGTTAAAAGAGTTTCGGAAAATTTCAGGAAAAAAGATCCCCTCTTTTTTTCGTCCTGATCCATTTATATAAAAACCTGTCTGTAAATGAGCTGATCAGATTTTGGCCACTTCATCATGTCATGTTTTTTTTTCGACCGTACAACCATTAGCCAATCACCAACCAAGGTAACACCCTTATCACCTGAATCTCCTAGACCACCACTGTGCTTTTTTTTTTTAAAGTGGACCTATCATGCTATATTTGAATAATATAGTGTAGGACCATACCATAAATAAGGCATATTTATACTTTTTTTTTTTTTTTATAAATACCAAACAGATTATGCATTTCAGCCATGCCTCATTTTGCTCAATTTGACAATTTCTAGCTCTGGGCAGATTCAGTGAGAACAGCACCATCTACTGGCCTGGCATATGTACTACAGCGTCTCCAGAGCTTTCGAACGGCCGTGGCTGTCTCCTCCTGATTGGTGGAGTTGGCCCAATATCCGTAGCGCCACTGTCCTGACGTCAGGACAGTGTTCAAATCTGGATCAGTTTTTATCAGATCCGTTTGCAGCCCCTTTTTTAGAGATTTGGTTATGGAGGAAAATAGAGAGGGTTGTGTTTTCTGACACTTGGTGAGTTCCCTGGAACACCGGGGACACATATTCATGTATAAAAGACGTACAAAAGTGCATTTTGCATGATAGGTCCCCTAAACTAAACATTGCGTGGGGGGTGACAGTTCGTTTGCATTACAGCTACAGATACAGAATCAGCACTTTAGAAACAGGGCTGAAACCGAGGGGTTTACGCACGATCTGGGATTTCGATCCTCTTCAGAGACATATATTGTATATATGAGACTTATTATATATTGTTGAAAAAGGGTATAATAGGGGAGAGATACCGTGCCTTGAAGGCCAGTTATGCAAACCAAAAATCCTTGTGATTTATCATTTTAATGCTGAGAAGCCCACTGCTGCAATTATTCAGTTTTGAAGCATAATCTCTCCTGTCCACTAGGGGGCTCTCCAGGCATGATGTGTAGAGAAACCGAGAGAGGATTTTAGAGGCAAATTCATCCAATTACTTGATAGTCATTTCAGCAGTCTCATTAAAGTCGTGATTTTGCTCTTTGTGTGTTTTTATGACTAGTTGATAGAAAAACTGAATTCTCCATATTGGAGTTTTTTTTAAATATTGAACAAATGTTTGGGCTTTATTCAAATGATGTTTAAGGGGCATCTGCTTGTGCTTTTCATCCGTTAATCCGGTGATCACATGAGAAACATCACTTTTTTGTCCCTGCAGTTTCATGTGAACTGGCCCTTTTCAAGCTCCTATAGTTAGGGTGGGCTTCATCCGAGCATTCGTATGCACCAGGTAGCTTTTTGTTTCCACAGCTGGGGATTAGCCCATTCAGTGAATAATCGCTCTATCCAGATGTTTTGCGCAGAAAATCAACACGGTGGATGAACAGGTCCACCATAAGGCCGGATTCATGCCTGCAGCAGGAAATGTGTCGAGATGATTTTGGCAAGGCCCATTTGTTCTTAACTTCTATAGACAAAGCTTGAACATGTAGAAAATATCTAGAATAAATGTGATAGTATTTGTAAAAGCTCGAGTAGGCCTGTATCTACACCCCCCCCCCCCCCTCTCTCTCAAACACAGGTAATTATTGTCTCCAAGCCACCAGGCCTGTGCAGCCTTTACGCTGTCAATAGACATTAATTTAGATTTCTTTTGGACAAATATGAATGCGACTATTTTCTCCATCATTTTCTGTCTTTTATTATAGAGAAAAAAAAAATACATGTTCTGAACGTTTTTCGTTTTACATAAAACCACACACATTTTTACAATATAATTTCACTTATTTGTTTATTCTTTAATATTAATTTCACGATATATGATAACGACTTTGAGATATACATTCCATCTTTTTGAAACCACAATAACACACTACACACACGGTTTTATAACATTTCCACAGGACCCATTGGATTGCACAGAATGAAAAATGTCTGTATGCACATTTTCCTTTTAATTATCTATTTTTTTCAGATTCAGACACCGAATTTTTGAGACGAGAGTCTATCAAATTAACTTTAGAACAGGCCATGAGTTTTCAAATGTAATGGAAAAAAGCATTATGGTAAATTGAGTGTGCAGAATTTCGGGGTCCCCATCTATATAATTTGGTTCAGGGCTATGGGTGTGTATTACAGGTCAGGTGAATTTTGTTATTGCCGATTTTAAAAGCTCATCAAAGAACATTTCAAATATTGGAGAAAAAAATATCAAAGCATTTACACTTTCAGGCAGGAGAAACCAATTTGGAGATTGTTTAATTTACACTTCCCAGTTTCATTAAGCTTTTGTGTGTCTGAAATATAATACATTCAATGCATAGTTCATATAGCTGCTGTGTACTTTGATATTGTGCATTTCCAGTATTTTAAACTGCTCGGGGAAGGTCCAATGTCCTCATTTCTAACGAAACTTCTGTTATCTCTAAAAGCAATCATCGGTTGCTGGTTATTGCCATTGTGTTATTTCTGTGTCCACAGGCCTTTCTGGATTTAACACCACATTCACTGCCCATAATCATAATGCAAATCACCTAAAGAAGTAAGTGGTATTTCTCAGTGTTTTTTCTTTTATATTCTTTTAAATGAACTTATCTTAAATCACATTATGCTGTCGAAAGTCCATCCATCACAAACTGTAGCGTTACATGAAGTGAAGTCATGAAGACATACTGCCCTTTTTGCAATTGTGTTTAACTTCAATATTGTAAACGTTCACTCCACTGGAAAATATGTATATGTACGTCTGTACGCATATTTATACAACATGTACTGTCCATATAGTGTGTTGTGGATGCATTGGTTTCCCTCACTGCACAGGCTCTACTTCTGTGTGTAAGCGCGCGTTTTTTCTGAATTGATGCAAGACTGTATGAAAATGTCCGAGTGTATTGTGCGCGCTTTTACGCATGAATTAAGCAGAGGGGCTCGTGTGTTTTTAATTGTTTTCACTAAACGGGGATTTGCAGTTAACATCTAGTTCCAGCAATAGCTCGCGTCTACTCCTCTATGTTATATTTGAAAGCCTCTATGAGCCCTTCCATTGAGTGGATGAAACCAGATATGCTGCATATACCTCCTATTACAAAGATGGCGACATCAAAGAAAACCTGGTGCCATAGCAGCTTTCTCCATAGAAGCCTGAGGTGGAAGAGGCTGGGGAGCAGAAAGCACAGGCCTGCACCTGTCAGGCTGCCAGTGAGGCCCATGAGGAGGGCGAAGTGTGGCACAAAAACCGCCATGAGCAAGGTGAACACGACAAGGGTACATCTGAGAGCGAGTCCCCAGGGTTTTATGCGTCCATCGCCTCCGTAGCAATCCGGAAAGGTCGCACGTCCTCCGTCCTGGAAAAAGGATTTCTCTAAAACCTCGACAGCAGCGAAAAACGGCAGCGGATACGACAGCAAAGCTTTGGCCACTAGAAAGATGTTGACGACGGCTCTGATGGTGGAGGGCAGGTTGTCTGTGATGACCTCCTTGGTTGCATCAGCCCAGGTCAAGTAGGCCACCAGGGCGAACAGGCCCTTGAGGATACAGGCAGCGATGTGAGTCCAGTTCATCATGCAGTGGAAGTCGCTGGGTTTCGACATGCTCCCCTCCATGGATGGCAGGAAGATCTGCGAGGTGTAGCTGAACACGATAATCCCGATGGAGATGGGGAACTTCTTGACATCGATGTAAAACTTGACCTTGTCCCAGGCCCAGTCCCTGGCTCTGGAGAGGCAGTAGGCTATCACCAGGACGTTGATGACGAAGTGGGCCATGGTGCATAGCAAGCTGAACTTGGAGACGGCTTTCAGGCTCTTGAGGAAGGCGCAGGGGAGCAGGGCGACGGTGGCGAGGATGGCCCAGGACTTCTGGGAAATGGGCATGGTGGGGAAGCTGTTGTACATGAGATTGCCACTGACAACAACATACAGGATGCAAGTCATCACCAGCTCTATGATTTGGGCTACATTCACGATATGGCCACCTAAAGTCGGGAATCTGGGCGCGCAGCAGGCGTTGGCAATGTCCACATAGGATTCCCTCACACGGACCAGCCGCCCGTCTTCGTCCTCTTCGTACAGGCAGGCAATGAGGATTTTCCCCGTGTAACAGCACACCACGGCGGCGAAAATAATGAGAAAGAGTCCGAGGTATCCTCCGTGCAGGATGGCGTAGGGCAACCCAAGAACGAACATCCCCTGCAAATAGGAAAAAAACAGACGGTAATTGTAAATGGGTTACACTTTTAGGATTTAAATAGGCCTAACAGATTATTAATACTTATGAACACATTATTTTGTATACAAATTAGGCTAAACACATCTTATTATTTTCTTATTATAATGTGCGGCCTTGTCTCTGGTCTGCCTGTGACTTCAGTTGATGTCAGTCTCGGTTTCATGTTGTGGGTTTTCCACTTTGCTTAGAGCACAATCCGCCCGCCTCTGACGTCACATCACCACGAGCTGAAGGAGACACACTCTGACGTCACGGTGACCGCCGTGACCACAGCCGTGATAAGGCTTGAAAGCGATTGCGTCTAGGGATTTTTGTCGCATAGCCTCCACACGCAGCAGACTCCACTCTCTCGAGTAAATCCTCGCACTTTGAATGATGTTAGAGCAAGTAATCTCCGCAAAATATATATTTTCTGCTACTTATTGGAATAAATGTGACACAAACTATTATTCTATGTTGCGTAATAAAGTGCCCTTGTATCTAGGCCTATATAAATCGAAACCCTCTCAATCTTTATGTTAGGCTTATTTGCAAATAATTGTGGTCAATCTAAGTAGCCCTTAAATGTTCGAAAACGATAAAAAAAGAGGCCTTAGTTATTATTTTCTAAAGTTATTATAGCCTACGGTCACAGTCTCCAAAACGATTGTGATTTTCTTTATATATTAATTTATTCATAACCATGCGGAGTACGTCGTTATCAGGGGCGTGCATCGGTGACACTGGACATCACTATACAGACAAAGAATGTGTGTGTTGAGGAGGAGGAGGAGGAGGGGGGGCACAGGGCATCATCTATCTCCCTTTTTTCAGCGCATTACAACGCATGAGCTGCTCCAAAATATCTGCATTGCTCCAGCATTAATATATGAGAACATAATAAATGGGGAGTTCAAATTCTTACACTAAACATAATTTAGGTAATACAGTGTTAAAAAAAACAAAAAACGTTATGATGTTGCTTCAAAGGGATCCAACTTTGAACATGAATATTTAATCAACCTTTTATGCAGTTGCAGGTGTGAGTTTATACAATTTCACAGCTGCTTTGAAGGCGACTCAGCCTATCACAACCGCCCGTTTATAATCCGTGAAGTGCATCTTTACCTGGATTGCATTCGTGACGTTCCAGCCCGCCTCCCACGTGGTGATTTTTGGTTTTTCTTCATTCAGCTCGTTCGCCGGGTCTCCGTCTTTTGAGGCTGAGCGCGCTGGCCCGGTGCCGTCTCTCTGGTAGTGGCTGTCCCCATCCAGCCCGCCTCCGTCCCCGCTCCCCTCTCCTGCCACCTCATCGGTTGTCAAAATGTCCATCTGCATGCCTTGCCGGTGGTCGTAGTCCAGGTCATCGCAGGCGGCGAAGCCCAGACCCTCCTCATCGGTGGTGGCCTGGAAGCCCATCCTGGCGAACATCCCGCTCACCTTCGCCTGGGATTTGTTGGAGACGGTGGTGGCTGCATTTGACAGTTTATTAGAAAGCTTGCTTCTGATTAACGTTGCCATGTTTAGCTCCTTTCGTAAGTCGCGATCGTCTGCAGCTTAATTAGTGTTTTCTCCTCCAGTCAGTAAAAATGTGAGGCTACTTTGGATGACAGCTCTTGGTTCTCTGCATTAGATTAAGCCACAGGGATAAAGCGCACGTTTTGTTTCAAGACACCGACGGTTTTCAGTTGCTATCTCCACTTCTTGTTCAAAGTACTCCTGCTGCTCTTGATTATCCCCAGGTTCATATCACCTTCAGACGTCGCTGCTCCGTTTCTGCATCTTGGCACTGCGCTCTGATGCTCGAAGATAAGCGCACCTATTCAGTCTCTGAGGCGGTGTGCGCAAAAGCTTTACGCACGAAGAAAGGCGAGCCACAGGTTTCTGTAGGGCCTGTAATATCGTTTTCTTTTGGGTTATAAGGTGGCAGGCAGCGTTTCCAGGAGTTGGTTGTCGGTTTTCAGGTGCTTCAACTGATGCCAATGCGGTACGGTGGAGCCCGGAGGGGGAGGCAGGGAGGAGACACGTGTCCTCATCAGCCTGCCAATGCAAAGCACGTCTCCAGCCCTCCCAGTGCCCCACCAGGAGAGAACGGGAGAGATTTGCTGCATTTCTAGGGGAGGTGCTTGCGGTACCCCCACCATCCCTTCCCCAACCCATAATCTATAATACCTCATCCTGACATCCAATGACATTCCGGGGGCCTCAAATCCTGCATAACTTTACGCATATAAAAGGAGGCTGGAATTTTACAAAAACATAAACTCTTTGGACAAGATTGAATAAAATACAAAACTAGGATTTCCTTTTTTCAAAATAAATCTTATTTCCTTTTTTTATTATTAATTATTGTTTTAAGCGAGAAGAGGACGTGGGGCATTAACATAGTAATCCAAATTGTTTCTTGGATTACATGGATCGGGTTTAAAATCCGTGTTGCGTTTGTTGATGAGGAGAATATTATGTATTTTCGTGCGCTTTTGTTTTTGCTAACTGATGGTAAGACATAGAATCATGGACGGCACCTGTTTTGTTATAGCATTTCAAAGTTGTCAATTTTTTCATGAATTAAAACTTAAAATGTAATCTTCTATTATTCTTCCATCTTTGTTTCCAGGGTGCAGACTTCATTCAGGACGCTCATTCATTCACCCATTCACTCATTTACTCACTGTCTGTGATGACGTGACAATCTGAGGCATGGTGGTGTTTCTATATAAATATGCATTTGTCACGCGATATTTTCATTAAAAAGTCTGGAGTCAATTCAAGCATCTTTGATAATAAATATGTTTATGAAAAGTGTGTGTTAACCCAAGATAGCATTTATTTTAAAAATACATTTGAAATCGAGTGCTTCAGCTATTTTTTCAATAAAACATATCTCTAACAGCCTGTAGGCTACAGTACAATTCCCTGCTTTATATATTTGTTCAAATAGATTTCAGTAACCATGGTAAACCTATTCTTATTCCTCACATTTTTTTGTGTTAACACCTTCAAAACATCCTAACAATATGTCTGGCTGCTTCCCATTAATGTAGCCTCAGTGATTTATTAACCCAGATCTAAAGTGCTGTAAACAGTTTGTTGACATTGCCTTGTCACAAGTACTTTGTGTCCGCCATGTTTAGTGTTTCCTCAGGCTGCAGTATCAAGAGTTCAGCACCATGATACAAAGCACTGGCACGAGTTAACATACAGTAAGTAATCCGGTCTGTCACTGTTTGTATGACCAGACTATTTGCTCTACACTGGATAATAAAATAATAACATGGCCTATTAAAAGCTCTGGCACTGGTTTCCTTGAATAGGCTGTAAAGTGATATGAGCATGCGATTCAGAGGAATAACAGAACTCACATCCCCAACTGCTGACCAAGGAAGGAAGGTCTGCTATTATTTTAACCCAGATTATAATTTAAAGGCCTGAAATGGAAATGTAAAAGATTTAAAGGAGGATAACACACCGCAGATACACTTGTCTGTTCTGTTAATGTTAAACGTTATTTATTATAATAATTAAACCCTCTTTAAAGTCGAATTATGTTTTGTTGGATTAAAATGTGATACAAACTAAAAAACAATTAATCCTTAAACGCAGACAAAGAAAATATAGCTAAATAGTTTGATGCATTGTTCGTTTGGATTTATTTATTTGATCATCTCGAACTAAATCCAGGATGAAACAAGAATGCATCCCGATGGTTTCACTGAGCTGCAGATGAGGGAGAGCAGGCCGAGCTTTATCAGGCCTTTGCATCTCTGTGAAATCTCCAGCTCGATTAAACGAGAGAGCTTGAGTCATACATTACAGATAGCCTACACTGCTCACTGTGTATAGCTCCTACTGCGTGCGTTTTCTTTTTGTCCTGATTTTCAGTGGTGGGAACGAAAATGGCTGCTGGTTCCTGCAGCCCTGACTGAAGGAGTTAATGACAGAGCTGTTATCAGCGAGTTGCAGCCGCTCTGATCCGCGCTGTCTGATGGAGGCTGCTGCAGGATGAAAAGAGCAGCGCTGACACAGGCAGCAGGTTACAGCACAGACCTTTTCACGACCCATAGGCTAATAATAACAACACTAATAATAATGATGTAATAATAGAACACGTTTGTCATGCATTTAAAGATATTTTACACTCAGTTTACAATAAGAATCAGATTCATTATAACCATATCATGAATCCAACACGTTCACATGGACATCATTTGTCTCAGCGTGCTCATTTGTGGCCTCATGTCAAATGCAACTTTTGCCCTATATTATTGTGTAAAGTGATGGATTTAAAATATTTGGAGGCTTAAGCTGACAATATGGGTTTACTTTCAGGCCTTGCAAATAATTTCACACGTTTGATCACACTGTTATTTTATAGCGTGCACGGTGTCTCTGTGATGTGTGGTTATCCGTCTGCAGGAGAATGAAAGTGATTTTCTCAGTTTATAACCCGTCCTTAAGAGTCATCAGAGGGTCAGGGTGCCACCTCCCAGGAGGGTCCTCGTCTCTCTCTGTCGATACAGATATGACCAATCAAAGCTCTTTATCTGCTTTGTGTTTGACCCGCATGTTCGATACCCATCGGTGAGGCTTTTCGTCTTCTTCTTCTTCTTCTTCTTCTTCTTGGTGATAGAAAGTGAAATCCAAAACGGCATTGTGATCGCACTGTGTCCTCAAATTCATTTCCTCCTGAGTACCCACCCCCCACGCACACTGTCCCCCCTCCTCCTCCTCTCCCTCCTCAGTATTTCACCCCCGGCTCTCCCTTTTCACATTACACACATGGGTGAGCTGGCACAAGGTTCTCCGCCTCCATGTAACCCCCCCCAAACACACACACACACCGACACCAACCCAACCCCCAATATTTTTCTAGAATCACAAAAATAAAAGCATAATTTTCGCCATAATTGGGGGATACTATAAATATAGAAAAACTGAGACTAGACTACCTGTTTATAGTGATTATTATAATCTACCAACTAATATGAAAATAATAAACATTACAGACAATACATAAGCCACGTATAGGCATATCTCCTGGTGTTTTTTGAAATGGTGCAACGTGTACTACATTTATATTTTGCTGCACCAAGGCAAACTGGATTTTATGTTTCCATGGCGTTGACTGCAATTATGTAGCTCTACAATGACTTTCATTGTAGGCTATCATTACCTCATCCATTAAACGTTCTCAATGAGACAAGGTAATGACGAAGTGTGTGTGTGTGTGTGTGTGTGTGTGTGTGTGTGTGTGTGTGTGTGTGTGTGTGTGTGTGTGTATGTGTGTGTGTGTGTGTGTGTGTGTGTGTGTGTGTGTGTGTGTGTGTGTGTCGTTTGACGCACGACCCAGATTGCGCATGGATAAGAGAGTATTTGAGGGAGAGAAAGAGCTGTGAATGCTGCGATTTAGCAAATAAATGTTTGTTAAAGAAAGGATACAAATAATTCTAGAAACCGAAGCATCCATCCCGTGTGCCGTCACCTGTCTCTTAACCCATGACTGCCTGCTGCTGTGGCTCTGAGCCAGCAGTGAGGCAGAAAAATACCACCCAACACTCCCGCAATTAATAAGGGACAGTGAAAAGGCTCTCTGGGCTCTCTGGGGACTGTGGAGGAGGGAAATTAGCCCACATCAGGCTAATCAGAGGACCTCACAGTCCATTAACATTTGCATCACAATCCCAGGTAGCACACTGTCTGTGTTATCCACTAGATTGTGTTTTGTCTGCTCTGAGCAGGTTTGTGCAAATGGCTTTGAAATCAGAGAGGGAGGGAAACACATTTCAGAGGCTGTTCATGGTGGAGTCCAGATTTCAGCACCGCGGACAGCGTTTGTCTCTATTCAGCAGCTTTAGGGAAAATCACATTTTAACATTTGTAAAGCGTTTTGAGATTCATTCTTGGCCTGAGCAATCCTCAACACAAAGCCCACTAACTCTCTTAGCGAGGCGTTTGGATTCAAGTGTCTAATGCCATTAGATGACACATTTGAGAGACAGACGACAGTGACTGACCTGGGCTTAGAAACGTTAAGAGATTGTATGAGCGTTTATCTGAATTTAGTTTAATGTGCTTCTGGAAATGAAATCCCAATAACATTGTCATGTTCTCATTGTTTCCCTACTGTCTGTAACAAGAGGATTTGTGTTATGCACCGCAGCTTTATACCTTCACCGATGTTCATCTTGAGGAAAACTATGATTCAAAAGGACACATTTAATATCATCAAAATTACAGATATACTGTCAATTAATCTTTACTCGATCAATTCCCATTTGAGACCCGAATGTGTCTAAAATTAGGTCAGGGTTGGACATAAAAACATGTATACAATCTATATTTACTACTATGATAAGTAAGTAAGGTAATCTCACTAAGATCAATATCCCTGCCTGCCGCAAAAGGAGCCTTACACATACAGTCACACACAACTAAAATGTTTTATTATAAAATATTATACATATACAATACAATACATATTGAACTAATCTGATATATTGGTCTTGAATGCCCCACAAAACATTTAGTTTCTGTTTCAAGAGCAGAATCTGCATTTATGCTATATTTTCATTGCCTATTGCCATCCAACCTCATCCCATAAAATAGTGTTTCTACTAAATCAGGATAATGAGGTACACTGCTTTTTTACAAATGTGTCTGCGTGTAAAAGTTGTATAAACCAGGCTAAGGCCACGACAAACAGCACACAAAGACCTGAAAAAATCCCGATATGCAAACACCATCATATTTATCTCCTCTGTTTTCCTCCCTCACTACGGAGACGAGCCATCACAGCCACCGCCCACCTCCACAGAGACACATCCAGGTGGCCCGCAGTGGTAAACCACTAAGAGCCTTTTCATTACTCCTAATGCGTCTGTTTAATGGCTTATTATGGGCTCCCGAGAGACTTCCTCAGAGAAGGGTTTGTATTAGTCCTGCATGATGGAGTCTGTCTGAGAAAAACAACAGTGACAAATGGCAGGAGAAATCCTCTATCTACCTATCTTTCTTTCTACCTATCTTTCTTTCTACCTATCTTTCTTTCTACCTATCTA